GTGATACAAGAGTTTGTAAAAGCATTTGGATAGCCTCATTTGTTTGCTGATTGCTCTTAATCAATAAATCTATTTTTTTATCCAACTCACGCTGCTCTGCTGCACTCTCACGCTCTTGCTCCTCTTTCTGCTCAATCTTCTTTTTCAATTCACTAGCCTTCTCATGAAGGCCATCAACAATACCAGCAACCTCCTTTGCAAAAAGGTTTTTTGCTTGCTTGGTTCGTTTTTGGGGTTGAGTTGAGGAGACTTCTCAGGACTGTAAGGACCGTTTTTGAATAAGGCCTTCCAACGAACACTCTCGCAACTTTTTATCATCTTCTCTCTTCTTTTCCAGTTTCTTCTTCGCAAGCTCCTTAATATCGGTATTTTTTGATAATGACTCATATCTGAGTATAATATCATCGAGTCGTTCAATATGGTCGGTAACTTCCTCATCGGTTCCTGTTTTTTGTTTGGAACGCGTTTCAGCTTCCTACAGTTAAGTTAATTTTGTTTCTAACTTAAGATTATTTCTTTATATATACTTAACTAACCTTATGCCACTGAACTAACTTTTCCATACGATCCTTACAGGAGACCACGATCGACTCATTCCATAATTAGTAAGACTTGTCGCAACCTCACTCCAGCGGTCTTCTTTTCTTCCTAACTGACCCAAGATAGGATCATCGGTTTGAACTTGTCGAGTCAGAGCCCGGTCTTCCCATGGCTGCCATGCAGCACCTTGCCTTCGGTTGTCTCGTGGAGGGGTAAGTCTCTCAGTACCGTGTTGGTGTTGGGAGTCATTACTGTCTCCACTGTAGCCGCTATTTGGATTATATGAGGAGGATTGGGTTTGGAGGGAGGTATTTGAAATAGAGGACTGGAGAAGGTGATCCAGATTCATCATGAACGGTGTTGTTGTTTGAATTCAGTCTCTGTTCTCTAGTTCTAACAGTCATTAACTTGATTTCTTGGTCTGACATCATAGGTCCTTTAGTTCCATCCACCGCAAAGTCTATCATACATCCAGCTCCAAAAGCGAAATTCTTGGCATACAGGGATTCTGGATACATCCACCGCAAAGTCTCTATTATCATACCACAAGGCCCCTTGAAATCAGCGATCAGATCATTAGCGGAGGATAACCCTTCTAGCCGGCGATAGGTTTGGATTGGCATTTTTACATAATCACAAATACAGGTAGGTCTGTGCGCCCAAGAGATGGGTTTGGAAAATGTCTCGGCTCGAAGCCCTAGTACCGTACGAGTACAGTACAGTACCAGTACCGTACTGCAATTGGTTTCCCCGCTATCTTCTTGCCCAGATCCTCTTGGGCGCAGCAGTGGACGCTCCATCCACCGAAGGGTCCTGGTTCCGCCCGTATCATACCGGCGCAGTATCATAACCCCAAGGGGGCGGCGGGGTGGGCGCAAGTGAAAAAGCCCACAAGTAAATCCAATTTAATTTAGGTGCGCTACTGGTACTTGTACGATACTTTGGGTTACGGTCGGGGGTGTAAGATCTCCATTGCTGTAAACGTTCAAATGCAGGATCAGCCTCCACCCTCTGTCTCCTCCCCAACGAACCAATTCACAGAGCCGGACAGGATCGCAAACACCCCCTCTCCCCCCCCCTCCTCCACGTGAGCATCCTCGGTGGCGAGATTGGATGCGAATACAGTACGAGTAGTGTACCGTACTCTCGTACAAGTATGTACCTACAGCACCATACCACCCACCAACGTAGTCGAGTACTGTACCTTGATCCCAATCGATATCGTCACAACTCATCACTCCAGAAACCTGCCGGAAGGCCCCCCCCAAACATCATACGAGTGCCAATTCTTCAGGGGCCCTCGTGGTTGCTATGTGGAGTGGGGTCGACGCTCGATATGCAAAGCCCACATTTGTACCACTATGGTCCGTACCTGAACCGGTGAGTGATAGATTCGGTGGTGGTACCGTACTCCTCTCCTTTAGGAACTCTAGGTCGGGGAGGGCCAAGCTTGGATGGAGACTGCGATGTATCGTGGTCACCCCCCCCCCCGCGTCAGGTATTGGATATGTAGGTAGACTAGTTCGGACACACCGTACTCGAGTGAAGGGAGCAAACCACTTTGCATGATAAGCCGGGTTTATACAGCCCCTTGGCCTGGAATTATTACTTATTTATCTACCTATTTCAACAAAAGGAGAGTTAGCACACTGCATTATCAGGAATATTTATCATGCCCCAAGTTACAAGTACGTTACCGGTACTTGGATAAAAAAATCCCACTAAACCCCCCTCTCCACATCGCTGGATGCCACTTGCTTGAGCTTTCTATTCTAACTCTCCCTCCTTTTCTAGGGGCCCCCCTCCCCCCCCAACTCGTGAATTTCGAGAAACCCGGACACCTTGGCGCCGAAGATCGGATCTGCGTCTTGGTGGCAGGTGGGGAAATCCACCGGTCCACCACCCCCCCCCCCCCACCGGTGCAACATATTGCCCTACTCGTACCGGCCAATCTCTCCCGTCCACGAGTATTATTCGTACAGTTAGAGTCGGCGCTTCCAGTTTGTCCCAGGCGGGGTGAGGACGTCAACACCGGTACCCCAGAACTATAGACAAGACTATCTCGTCTTCGGACAGGGTGGGCTGCACTCTGACAGTTCTAGGGCAAAAACAATCGTACAGGTACGAGTACTACCGGTACCGTATTTAACTGACTAAATCCACCATCGGGGATCGAAGATTGGCAGATGAGCAAGGGGGTGAACGCAATCAAGCCAAGAGATCGGGTGACGGGCAATGACAGGGGGGTTACAAAAATGGCATGGGCAATCTCAGGTTGAAACCAGAAATCGTATTTTGCAGAGCGTGATTGAAGTTAAAAGCCAGAGTGCCGACCCGAAAATCGTCGACCATAAATCACGAAAAGGCTGCGAAAACTCTAAACTGAGGCATCTTGTGCAATGGGTAGCAAAACCCATGGTCCCCCGACATCCAATGGCGGATCCGGTTAGTAAGTACGGTACGGTGGTTCGAGAGTCTGCAGAACTTGTCGTCAAATGGCTTGCTCTTTGTTCGTTCTTCCTGCTGTGCTCTTGCTTCTGTTCTCGTCCGGTTCGTTGCTGTGCTTATCCCCCAGCAGCTACTCGCGGATGCGCATTTCAGGTGTCATATCAATGAGTGCCTTACTTGGTGCATGCACCAATTCCAGTCGACTGCTACCGGACCGGAGGACTGGAAAGTGCTGAGTGTATGTATGGCTCAGGAATGCCTCTACTACTGTAGTGATCAAGCAACACCCCTCGCGGCCCAGGACCTGCAGTTCTGTACCAGGACCAAGACTTCCACGCAAAAATCCACTACACGACACCGGCAGTGGAACGGGGCGCCTGAGGGAGGCGGAAGGACTGACCGCACCTCGCCCCACAGTATCGGGCCGCACCTGGCGCCGATAAAGCACCTTCTCGCTATGTTTTCTGAGCCAGGTGGTCCACCTCCCTATTTCTCAGTGCCCCGAAAGAGTTTTTTCATAGGGCATTGGTTCTTGGAGTAACATGTGGCAGTAGTTAGTGCCGGATCCTGAAGTTTGCATCATTCCGAAGTTTGCATTATTCCACTGCTCTTGGAGGGTTTGTGAGCTCGTAGAGAGTTGGCGAGGTTTCGATCCTTCTATGATACTCCACGCAGCAGCCCAGATCACGCCAACATCAGGACATTTCCTAAAGGACGCTCGTCACACCATAGAATGAAAGAATGAAAGAAGGATATATCATACGCATTCACCCAAACGTGATATATTCCCCCCCCGCCACCACCACCACCGCAATCAGCACCATCACCATCACCAAACCATCACTCAATCATCGTGTCCAGCTCTTCATTGCCACCCTCCCATCGTATCATACCGGTACTCGGGCAGAGGGATTCCAGGGTGGGCTAGCAGACCTATAATAATAATACATACATTACCTTGATGTTTCATTCCCCTTTGGTTTTTATCTTTTTATTTGTACTATCGGTATCCACGTTTTGTACAACTTCAAAATCCGTTATGAAGGAAATGGAATCCACCACAAATATGACACAAGCCAACTCCCCAAAACCCTTGGTGAGAGTGCCGGAATAAAAGCAGCTACACTTTGACAAGTGGAGAAGGGAGCATCACAACGTGAAACCAGGTCTTTGCTTCTGCCGAGGGGGGGATATTCGCTATCTAAAGAGAGAGAGAGAAAACAGAAAACAAAGCGCACATACAGACCCTACTGCAGAGAGAAATCATAGTCACTTCAACGCCATCGATCCAAATACCTCACAATTCGCACTCGTCTCCACCGTGCACCCCCCTCCTACACATGCACGGCATATCACACGAGCAAATCAGTTAGACCGCCCCTTTAGCTTTTCCACCACGTTCCCAACTGTGCCCTCCGCCCCCTCCCGTGCGCTCCTCATATCCCATCTCTGTGCCCTGCGAACAATCTTCTCAATCTCCCAATTCCACGCATCCTTCAATGTCTCGACAAAGCTCGGTCGCTCGAGTGTCGGGTCCCGGTTCTTGGGGATCTGCTTGGGAAGGAGTATCGAGTCCGCGATCTGGCGGGATCCCCGTAGGGATGCTGAGTGTGTTCTTGTGTTTGCGTTTAGATGTCGGAGGGTCAGGTATGCGATTGAGCCCGTGAGGACGGTGCCGCCGAGCTGTGGGGAATCTGTTAGCCTGCGTTAGTCTGGCAGTATTGGAAGGGAGCATGTACGAAGCCGCCCATTCCACCCATTGTGACTTTGTGTTTGGGCTGGATGGGGTGGTAAATTAGCGGTAGTGAAGACTGCTTGGATGGAAATTGTTTCGAGGTGTGAGAAATGAAGCATGTGAATGTTTCTTTTGTTTCTTGTTTCTTTTTGGAAGGCGGGCCGGGTAACTCGGGTGTTCCGTAGATATCCGTGCGGATCCTTCCTTTCTCACACTTGGTACTACTACTATAGTATGCATCATATGGTATTATCACGAGTGCCGCACAGAGTATAAGCAGGTCAGTCAACAGTCAAGCCAAGTTGACCTGCAAGATAATCACTGTCCTGTAAGAAAAAAAACACCTCGGGTATTTCGCACCCGCACACCGAATATTGCTATCCCGTCTATATTTACTCTAGCCATTTTTATCACGATAAGTATGGTACCGCATGATACCGGTACCGTACCAGTAGGAGGAACATGCATCACCAAAACCGCCGTGAACATTCATTTTCCCAGTCATTTTTCCTGATTCTTGGACTCTTACCGGCCCGGGCCCGAAATTGACGAGGGGGGGGAAAGTGGGGGTTTTTTTTTTGAATGTAGTAATCACAGCTCTCTCCCCCGTCATATCTTTCAGAACGACATCCATTCCTTCAAACTGCGATACCGCCATAGTCTACCGTATAGTCTACCGGTGATAGGTTACGAGCAGCCGGTGGTTAATGCGCCTAAAGCAGGGTAACCGTAAAAACCGATTTCAGGAACCATCTCCTCAACCCACCATGATACCTTCCCGGTAGCCAACCCCACCAACCTCAATTCAATCAAATTCAATACCAAACTAAACACACTTCACCTCCACCTCCACCTCCACCTCCACCTCCTCCTCCTCCTGCTCCCCCCAAGGGCCGCAAACCGCCGACGCAATGGCCGGCCACAAAGCCTTCCGAGCGCTCAGCCGGAGTAGCGCCCACCGCCAAGCACTCCTTCGAAACTTAGTATCGGATCTTATAAAGCACGAGTCCATCTCAACAACCTACGAAAAAGCGAAAGAAGCCCAGCCAATAGCAGAAGAAATGATAACACTGGGAAAAAGGGGCACGGACGCCTCCAGGAGGCGGTTAGAACAGTTTCTCTACGTACGTTTCCCTCCCCCTCTTCCCCCTTCTCCAAACAAAGCAGCGCGAGAAGAGACTCACACCAACCAGGTCCCGGAAGAAAACGTCCCCCGAGTCCTGAATGTCCTCGCGCCCCGCTACAAGCTGCGAGAAGGGGGGTACACACGCGTCCTGCGGATCGAGCCGCTGAAAACCGATCAGGCCGAGAGTGCGATCCTTGAGTTCGTGGACGGGCCGCGGGATATGCGCTTTGCGCTGACGGCGAAGACGATTGCGCGCTCCAAGAAGGAGGGGAAAGAACTATCCGAAATTACGCTATTAAATGTCAAGAAGATTACGCAGTTCCGGGCTAATGGGGAGAAGGAGTTGGAGGCTCAGGTTAAGAAGTTTGAGGAGAGGTTGTGAAGGAAATGTGAGGCAGATGGAAGAGGGGGAGGAATGGGAGAGCGAGCTAGCACACATGTAGTACCCGTTGGCAGGCTGTTAGGTGATGGACTCAAAGCGGGATTCGAGGATTGTGGTGGTTTTTCAGAGAATGTATCATATCATATCACGATAGATTTCCCGTCAAAACATTGCACTACCGCCAAACCACTACCACCGCTATCCCACACTATCCCCCCACTAACCCGCCCACCCGCAGCGAACGAGAGCAGGAAGAAAAAAAACCAAGGATGCCCGGCCTAAGAATCCTCAAAGCCCTCCCTTTAAAGATGATTTCCATCCCCCTCCTGGTCATCTCCGGCCCCTCCGGCGCCGGAAAATCATCCCTTTTAGACCGCCTACTCAGCAACCATCCCAAAATCTTCGGCTTCTCCGTGTCTCGTAATCTCTCCCAAAGACCCCAACATCCTCACACAACACCAGAGGCTGAAAACAGGCAGATACCACCCGCTCTCCCCGTCCCGGTGAAACCGATGGACGACACTACCACTTCACGAACTGCGCAGACTTCGAGTCCCTCAGGGCGCAAAACCACTTCATCGAGTCGACCGAGTTCGCCGGGAACCTTTACGGGACGAGCATCGGTGCCGTGAAGGATGTTGCAGACAGTGGGAGGATGTGCGTTCTTGATATCGACTTGATGGTTAGTCATCCCGCTGATTACGGTTGCAGTATGTCATAAGTCTGCGGGACGGACTGTTAAGGGAGGGGGATACGGTACGAGTACAGGGCGTTAAGCAGATCGAGAGTAATCCATACGTGCAATCCAAGCGGGTTCTTATCAAGCCTCCGAATCCCGAGACGCTACGGAGGAGGCTGCAGAAGCGTGGGACAGAGGCACCGGAGGCTGTGGAGGCCCGTCTGGCGAGGGCACGGAGTGAACTGCAATCCGCAGAGGGGAGTGGCATATACGACAAGGTCATAGTCAACAGCGACCTTGACTTGGCTTATCGGGAGCTGGACGAGTATTCAATGTCACTCTACCGACTTGTAAACAAAAGAGATCATGTTTGAAGCCGGAGCTATAGGGCCTGGCGGAATCTGATATAACAAATGATTCGGGGAGAAGGGGGGGGGGGGAGGAGAATGGAAACAAAAAAATAAAAATAAAAATAACACCGATCGCCTCGGAGAGAAGGCTTGTTTACAAAGTAGGGGAAAAAAAAAGGAAGAGAAAAAAAAGAAATCATGTGGAATGTCTCAAGAAACAACGGTAAACAACATAGAAAACGCTGGCCAAATTGATCCTTTGAGATCCCGCCAACACCCATCCTCGACTGGTTCCGCGACCCCGAACGGGGGAATAAACTATCAGATAGCCCATAATATAAGGGAAATAAAGTGCTCACAGGATATAGAGAATTACAAGGACCCCGATATTACTAAGTAAAGGAAGCGGGAACTACAGAAATAAGAAAAGAAAAAAAGAGTTAAAGGCAGCCCCGCGCTTTTTTTTATATAAAAAGGTTCCCATGAAAAATCATATTCGAATTGTCCACCCACACAAACTGCCCCTGCACCCCTTCATATCAGCGCTCCCACACCTTCACCATTGCCAAAGTTAATATCCGTTGATCGTCATCCTCTGCTGAGAGCCTCTACTCAGCTCCCTGTCAGCAGCTGGTGAAATAGGCCTACTGCTTCCCGCACCAGCGGCACTGGACTCCTTCAAAGCCAAAAGCTGTTTTGCACGGAAAGTCTCATAGTGGATCTGAGAGGTTGTCTCAATTAGATCTTGGAGATGGGTGCGGGTAAGGAAGTTTCGTAGAAAGACAAATTCGCAGTGGCTTTCATTCTCAACTATTCCAATTAGCACCCAACAGGCTAATCTTGAGGATTGACCCAAACATACCATTAATAACACCCCATCTGTTCTGACGACCACGAACCTGCTTCCCATCTACGATGATTGACTTCTCCGAACCAACAACGGCGAAGGGAATGACGTTTTTGATTTGCGCATTGAGAGCACGCTCCTCCTCGTCCAACTCATCGTTGTCGTAAGGGTACATCTTGAGGTTATGGAAGGTAAATTCTTCTCTAATTCTCTCCTTAAACGCAGCACGTTCCTCTAAAGTCAGGGAGTCAGACTTGGCAATGACGGGAACAACATTGACAACATCCGAAAGCTTCTTGAGGACAACAATATCAATGGGCTTGAGGCTGCATGAAATGTTAGATTAGGATCCTAATAAGACCGGGATACGGAAACATACGCGTGTCCCGAAGGCTGAATGAAGAAAAGACAGCAATGAATTCGTGTGTCCTGAATGTAGCGTTCCCTCTGTGCCGTAAGCTCCTTGCGAAGATAGGCTGAGTGCTGGTCCTTGATATATTTGACAATGGGATCCCAGCTAGGCACCGCATCAGCTCCCAAACATCTTCCATCAGTCACAACATGGCATACCATCTATCATTGTTAACCTGGTCACCATATCCAGGTGTATCAACAATATTCAATCGGAGACGAACACCATTCTCCTCAATAACTATTGCATATCAGCCACGTCCTCCAACAATCGCAAAGGAGGGAGTGCATACTATGGGAAACAGTTTGAATCTCAGTGGTGGATCGCACAGGCTCATCGGGAGTAAGACGACCCTTGGAATCGATAAGATGGGCAGCGAAAATAGTGTTGATCAGGGTAGACTTCCCAAGGCCAGTCTGCCCTATAGCCAAGTTAGAATAATTATGATACGCGAGCTGAGAAAGGGATGCGGAAGATCGCTATACATACCAACACAGATAACATTGAACTGGAAGCCGCGTTTAAGCAGCTTTCGCTCTATTTGAGAAGTGATACTGTCGAAACCGACATGGCTACGGGGGAACACGTTTGCAGTTTGCGACATAACTGCGGTTGGTAAAGTAAAGACAGCTGTAGTTTGTGAGAACGGAGCGTGTTTAAAAGGTGGTGAGCGGAGGGATTGGCAGAAGGCAGAGGGAGCGAAATGGATAGAACTTCCACAATTCAATGTTTCCCAAGAGGAAGGGGGAAGGTAGACAGGTCAAAGCTGGGGGTGGTTGAGAGAGAAGAGAACGCAAGCAGTGGCAGACAGCAGCGAAAAGGGGTCGGAGGCCGGCGGGAAGTGGATTATTGGCTCTAATTCTGGCCTTGGCGAGAAAGAAAATACTAATTAGCATTGAGCCAATAAAGTATGGCCCAGGGTCCCTTATCATGAGCGAACCCTAACCCACTCCCAGATTTACACGGTTTGACTCTCGCCCATACGGAAGGAAAAAATTGCGTCCAGCCCAAAGACCCTCACAACTCCAGCCTCATCCCCTCCCACCATACACAATCGATACGCCCGTTGTTGGCTAGGAGCACACCAAACCTCCCTGCCGACACGCTCCGCTTACACTCCTCTTGCTTCCCGAGCACACAATCGCAATGGCAATACCTCTCCTCTCACTCACCAGACTCGGTCTACTTCACTCGATAGGGTCACTCCTTCCAATCCTCCCACTACCTGCGCTCGCCGTACCTGCCGCAGCCCACCTCAATATACCAAAGTTCCTGCCCGGTATTTGGGAATCTATCCTCCGGGCCGTCCCCAAGAAGAAGCAGAGTCACTCGAGAAAACGTATGCGACAGCTGGCTGGAAAGGCGTTGCAAGACATCACTGCCCTCAATGACTGCCCGGCCTGTGGAAAAGTCAAGAGGCAGAATATGTTGTGCAAGCCATGCGTAAACGAGATCAAGGACATGTGGAGAGCGGAGGCTGCGGAAGAGGATGCACTCAAGGAGGGCAGAAGTCCAACTGCAGCCCCATAAGTCGGCGATGAGGAAGGGGGGTACAAACGGGAGCGATTGACAGGGAGCTGGTGGAAGCTGTAGGGACTATTCTGCATCTGGAGCTATCCCCCATTTTTTGAGGGGGGGGGGGGGGTGAGAGTGTGGTCAGCGACAGCCAAATGGAGCGGGTTTTTATATGGGAAAAGCATGCATATTGTATATAAAAACATGGTAGGTTTGGCATGATATATGGGGTATCATACCGATAAGGCTACAAGGAAGGGGGAGACTGTACAAAACATAGAGATCCCAGGAAGCTATCAATTACACAACCTCTTCCAACAGTTCTGTCAAGAGGTGTTTTTTGAGGGCGTTAAATCTTCGCGCAAACAGCTTCACCCTCATAATATTATTGTAGTCCTCCTGCTTCACTGGGAGAAACAATTTCAAATCTATCTTTGCTCCCATGCCCTAACCAACACATACCCGTCCCATTCCCTATTCCCCGCTGTGGGGCAGACAAGTCGGGATGTTGAGCCTCAATTTGGCACACCATGGTGACGCGTGCACTCCCGACCCCACCATGCAGCACACTCCTGGGCTTGAATATCTTCCTCTCCGGCCTCCTCCTCCTTACCCGCACACACAATTACCCCAATTTCATGAGCCTGGGGCACTCGAACCATGGTGAGTTAAGAACGGCCTTGCATTCTACTGTACTTGGAACCAGCGCTAACCTTCAAAATCCAGTCGAAACAATATCTGACAGAACATGTCGTTGAGAATGGTGAGCACCAAGTTCCACGGGCTCCGCACTTGACGGGGGGGCAAGCTTATAAGTAGCAGCACATCCTTCCGACATATTTGCCATTGCAGTCAATACAGCATATGCTATTTCTGCTGGAGGAGATTCAAGCATACAAGTTTGGAGCCTACACGGACCAGATCACCACCTAGTTCACAAGTTCGAGAATGCACATCCCCTCGGCGTTCACCACCTTGCTACCAACAAAGACGGCAGGTTTGCCGCTAGTGCCGGCTTTGATGGAACAATCAATATATGGGATCTTGAGAGCCTTTCCCTCATCAAGCAGGTCGCAAGTTTGTCCTACATCCGAGCCACATTTTCTGGATCTCGTACTCACAGGGTTTTATACCAGAAGGAAGATCATCAGGCGAAGTTTGGGCCATCGCCCTGTCACCTACTGGAAAATTTATGGCCGCTACTACTTATAATGGAAGGGTGTGCGTTTATGATGTCTTTGAAGCCGGTGAGAAGCTCCGGGAATATGAGACCAAGGGAAGCTTTGGAATGAGTGTTGATATCGTAAGAGCCCCAGCTATTGGAATTTGTTTCTCTTGCTCTCGTTTTGAAACCAAACGTCTCATCTGAAGTAGTCCGCAGATGGAAAGCTTATCGCTTCGGGGCACGAGAATGGTGGAGTTTACATTTTCAACAATGAAACCGGCAAAATACACCACTCATTGCCTGGTCAGTCCACAAAACGTACTACCTAGTAAGCTGCTCTAACTCGCCCAGGCCTCATCAGAACAGTCAGATCTGTAGCATTCTCTCCAGGAGGAAGACTACTCGCGGCGGCAGGCGATTCCAACATAATTGCACTGTACGATATTATATCTGGTGAGCAAGTTGGCAATCTGTCGGGCCATAGCAGCTGGATATTTTCGATTTCCTGGAGTAAAACTGGCGAATATATTCTCAGTGGGTAAGTCTTAGGCTTCCGCAATCTCCTTGTTTCGCAAGTACTTATCAACCTGGTTCAATAGCGCTTTTAACGGAAAAGTTAAGGTTTGGTCGACCGATACGAAGACCTGTGTTGCGACCCACACTGAGAATGACAAAGCTCTGTACGGGGTAAAATGGATTCCAAAATTCTCCGGAGTAGGCGAAGGATTCTTCACAGCTGGAGCGAATGGGAAGTTATGCTTTTACCGTGAGGCGACAGGCAGTTGAAGATGCTTTTCGAGTTCAATCTTTGGCTAGGGTACCAGTACAGAATAAAAATAAAATCAATTAAAATTAAAAATCACAAAATCATGTACATGTATTAAAAATTTATAGGTAATGCATCCCATAGATGTACAATCTAATGGAACGCGGGAAAGGCGCTATATCCAATGCTGAGTGCACGATACTGTATCCATCGCCAGGGTACCGCCAGATTATACGAGTACAATATGGTAGTACTCATACACTCCTGTGATACTAAGCTGTATTTCAGTGTTCCCATCACACAGTCTGCGGGTACAAGTTACTTGTACGGAATCCAGATTCTCAAGCTCAAACATGGGACCTTGCTTGTACGAGTACAAGTATAGTACTTCTGTCTTGGTGGGGATAGAAAGCGGTTGAGCGCCATCAGGTATTTGTGGTGGTACGATACTATACCGTACTGGCATTATCAGGTACTGTACGATACCGTAAATTTATAGTACGGGTACCACCGCCATACGGTACTCGCAGGCCCTGCCCCTCGCCCATTCCCCCCCCATTGCTCTACCGCTATTGTACCGTACGCTCTTCCGTCCCTTCAACTTCACTTCAACCCTAACAAACCTCCAAACATTCCCTCCAAATACCCACTGTCTTTTTCGTGTTTCCCCCTGTCGATCATTCAATACTGTTGTATATTTCTTCTCTTCTTTTAAACAATCTACAGTAATACCCTCTAAACCCTTTTCTCCGATTGAACACCACTGTCCACAGCACCAAAGTGCTCAATAAGTTTCACTATTTTTACCACCGTAGTCTTGGCCCTCGCGCTCCTGATTCGCCCTTCGGCTGCTGCCACTCCTCCAGTGAGTAGTTCGCCACCGTGTTTCCCGCGGCAGGAATTCGTTGCTGGCTAAGCCCTTGAAAAGGCATGCGTTCTTGCCTGTTTGAACGAGCAGGGCACCCTGAGTGACATTGAAAAGCTTTGCGGATCCGACAAGATCGGAGCTTGTCTCTCCTCCAAGTGTGGTGACAGACTCAAGGACGCTCAGGACCACTTCACAAACACCTGCAAGGCCAATGGCCATACCGCTTGTGCGCTCCTTCTCTCAATACAACTTTGTTCCCGTACTAACTAACACCAGCTCCCGGATCCCCGTTCACAAAGTCCGGTTCTACTTCTTCAAGGTCAGCGCTCCCCCCCCACCCCCCACCCTGCCTATATAGATATAGCATTAACCCCCCCAGCAATTTCTTACCTTTCTCATAGCGCAACCTCTTCCGGCTCTGCAACGATAACCTCATCTGGATCTCTCGTCACTGGCACAGGAGGACCCGGGTCTGTCCGTAATGGGACCATTTCAAACCCTACCTCTGCCCCGTCCGCTGCTGCTGGTAACAGCGCGTCTTCACTTAACGTCACAGGTGGTGCATTGGCATTGGCGGTGTTGGCTGCTGGCTTTGTGTTGTGATCTACCGCTCGGGGAGAACAGTGGTGGGAATGGGCCGTTTTCACAGCGGAGTGCTTGCGTTACCATATGCGAGCACGCCAGTGGAGGGCTTATAGTGAACGATACACTCTGTGTAATTGGATAACTTGATATCCCCCGCCCCTCCTCCACTCGTGTACCGTACAGATACCCGAACCCTTGGGGTGAGATATGTTGTGCGGTAGTTCGAACATCGCTGGGAGGAACGGCTCGGACCTTAAGGTTAGCGCAGGGACTAGAATTTAAGCATAACTTCTGCCCTTGTAAATGGTCGGACAAGCAAGCGATAACTTCAAAGAACTCCTGCAGCGGGAGACTTGATGCCACTACAATCCAACTCGAGTTTACCCGCTTCGCTTCGGTTCTTTGATTGCATTCCTACACTGGCTGCGCGATATGCTACCATAGCTCAAAAGCTAAAAAGCGCTACGAGTATGACGATATCCCCCGATCTTTCAGGGTGCGCTTTTCCCGACGCTCAATTTGTCTCTACCAGCACGAGTGAGCGAATATGACTACCATCACTGGATAGGCGGCGCATGCGCGCGCACAATTGCCCGTACTCATATTGGCAGACATTCTTATCACTTTACTGGCCCGGGACCTAGACTTATTTCATCAAGGGGGAGGACTTGAACTTTTGTGTACGGGCAAATTGGTTTGGGACCGTGGAATAGTTCGCTACTAGAGCCAAGGGAAAACAACGCCCATGCATGCCATGTACACCATAAGAAAAAAACTTCCGGGATCCCCCCACAGAGAACTGCCATTTTTTTTAAAAAAAATCCGCTATCAGACAAGGAGAGACCAATTTTTTCCTTTTTAGATTTTGATCGCTGCGTCCAATGCTTTCTGCTTCTTGGCTATATTTTCGAAGGGGTTGTGTTAGTAGTCGGATGTAAGTTAGTGCGAATAGTGGATTTTACTCACCAACTTTAGCGTTAGCCTTAGCTCCCATGATACCACCGCCCCAGTGTCTCTTGGACTCCTCGTACTTTTCCGAGTACCCCTCCTTGATGGCAGTGATGAGCTTGGAGAGCTCGCTCTTGTCCTCACTGCGGACCTCAGTGAAAGCGAGGACAGCAGCAGTCTAATGGCTCATGTTAGCGGCGTACGCAAGGCGGTAGATGAAATACAACAAACCTTCTTGTGAACAACAGTCCCCAAGCGAGCCTTGCCCTTGATGATAGCGTACGGGACACCCATCTTTCTGCAAAGAGCGGGAAGGAAAATAACCAGCTCAATTGGGTCAACATCGTTGGGGATGAAGACCAATGACGCCTTCTTGTTCTCTATCAATCCAACAACGTGGTTGAGACCATACTTAACAACGTAAGGCTTCTTGGAGACATCTTCCTTCTTCTTTCCGTCAGCGACGGCCTGAGCCTCCTTGGTCAATCGGTCCTTCTTCTCAATCTTGGTCTCAGGGCGGTACTTGTTGAGGAGGCGGAAGGTTTGGGTAGCAAGATTCTTGTCGAGGACATTCTGGAACTGGGCAATCGCCGGGGGGACCTTCAGACGAAGGTTGAGGACCTTCTTCTGGCGCTGAAGACGGACATACTCGGGCCATTTAACCATGCGGGAAAGGTTGCGCCTGGGTTGGATGTCCTGGCCAATGCCATAGTTGCGGGGGCGCTTCTCGATAAGAGGGTTCTATGGTAACATCAAGAGTAAAAAAGATAAGTATCACAACACCGTCCATCAAAAACCCGACCTATAAAAGAAATAGAAAGGAATTAAATGGGGAAATAAACTCACCTTGGTCTTCTTGGAAGATCCAGCCTTACGCTCGGGGAAAGGGGCGGCGGTGGGTTTTTTTCCTTTTGATACTCTTGGGGGCTGGTCATTGAGAGATTTTGAATCAGTGAAAAGCTCAACAGAAAACAAAAATCTACTCTACAAGTCTCGAGGTATTTTTTTGCAAAATAGCATAAGAGACTACAGCCGGAAGGTCGAAACGAATTTCAACAGGTTCATGAAAGAGATCATAAAATTCCCGCGTCGATTACATTTCGCCTTAATGTGTGTGCGAATCCAGAGCTTTCGGCGAAGATGGAAAGAGTAAACAGCTAGGAAGAACTCCAACCGCGGAGAAATAGATTCCTCGTTGGTATTCTTGGATTCCCTCAATTTCGTTCCCGAGATGAGAAACGAAATTACGGATCCATAGCTGAAGCGTCTACCCCAGCCGCTCAAACGGGAGTGAAAGAGGATAAAAGGGGAAATACCATGGTGAATTAGTTTCCTGTTAACGGTTGACGTTGTCGTTAGTAGGCGGACGTCGTGATGGGCGTGAGTTTGGAGATGAAGTCGACGAGGGATTGTTTTTCTGTAGAAAAGGAATAGGAATTCAATTCGGTGTGTGGGGTTGAGGTGACTGGTTTTTTCCTTTTGGGCGAGTGTGGATTGGCAGGGTAATCAAGGGTTTCCCACATTTGTGTCACAGTATCATCCCTTATCCTGTATTCTCGTTCACGCACTTTTAGCTTTGTACCGACATGGTGATCAGCGATAGCTAGGGCCAGAATAAGGACAGCGGGATCTGTATCCCCTGAAGCCGCGGAAAAATTCAACCCCCATTTAAAATCTTGAGCGCTAGCCTATCCAAGTAATCGTGACAGGAAAAACCTTGTGGCATACAGATGTTGTAGTGCTCAGAATATCGCAAAGTTCATAAAACACAGCATGGCCATGACAGAAAGAGAGGGTCTGCGTAAACTTAATCCCAATGGATTAAACAGGCTAGTGTTTTCCACTCTACACCAGGCTAAATGTCTAAGTTGTTTCGAAGGATACTCTTTCCAGCTACTTCCTCGCTTATCACTTCTGCCACAGCTAGTGGAGCCTTAGCACCAGTGTTTGAATACAGGCAAAGGGATACATGCAGTATTGGGCTGCAACGGAACTGGCTAGGGCAACTTTGTGCTTCCCTCCGTATGATACTGTACAAGTGCCGGTAAATTTACGGCAGGGCACGCTACGATTTCATTCTCGAATTGCGTTTTGGCATGCCAAACGCCCTTAGACTTTGCGGCAGAGCACATCCGGGGTCGTTTTGTCAGTCTCGGCGTGAATGCGTCAGGACTGGTGACATCCGGATGCGGATTTGACTCCGGAGGAAGGGCGTATTGAACGAATTTGAAAGTTACGACTTTGGAGTTGCTTCGCACCAGGATTCCTCTCTCAAGTAGTTCATTTTTTTTTTCCTGGAGACCTGGGCACTGGGAGAATGAGTGACTTCGATCTCACTGTATTTTGACTCTAGGCTCAGCCTCTCTCTACGCTAGGTATTTATCGGTATCCTTCAATCTACAGGTTCGCAATGGCGGGGCCAATTGTGCAACGGAGGACTTGTTTCGGCGGTGTGGAAGATATCCTTCGGGTCCTATACTTGTATCCGGGCTTATGATAGATTTTTGTATTTTGACGCTGCAGAAATTGATAAGGGTAGAGTTTCGGCAAGGAATTGAAATCCATTATTGTCCCTGGGTTAGATTGCATATCGCGAAGGTATCTCCACATACCTCATGAAACTGTTCATCCTAGTTGCTTGCCTGACAACTTCGGTTTTTAGTGCCCTCAACGGGAAAGCACCATACTCTGGTACCCGGGCCTCAAAATCCCGATTCTTGACATGCGGGGGTGCGGGTGCATCCATCGCAAAGTCCCTATCAGGGAGATCCCATAGCCAGACGGATAATGACACTTGGGTTAATGATCAATCCTAGGCTTAAGTTACCTTGGGAATCGTCAAAAATTGCCCAAGTCTTTCGAACTTTGAGCTAGTCAGCGTTCAAGTTCACATCCCTAGGTTAATTATCGTATCGCGAGCTCAACGCTTCTTAACCATATCTAATACAGTACGGAGCGCAACTGTGGGCGGATCTGTTCGACAGTCTGATAAGTTTCACGAGAAAGATGAAATAGTAGCATCCGTAGCCACTAGAATAAACCGAGAAATATTATGTAGAGGCATATAGTGCCGATAGAAAATTCAACTCCGAGTGAAATGAGATGTTATACAAAACGCCCCTCAAAAGGAAAAAGCACAAGGTAAAATGATAATAACCAGCCTACCCCAATGCGGCGACAAACGTGGGACTGGGGAAAAAAAGAAAGAAACGTGAGCAATAAAAACTAGTTTTTTACTCGTTTGGAATCGCTTCCAAAGGTCGAGGTTTGGGCGTTTAGTCTTGATCCCGAGGAATCCCCTAAGGTTGATCTTCCAGGACCACTACGAGTAAGTTAGTGCTGGTAATGGAGGTTAGGGAAGAGATCTGGGTGCAAACGTACCTTGCTGCCCCGGGGGCATTTGTATCGGCGGGGCGTTTAAAACCACCGACTGATGGCGTAGGCTGGCGGAAAGCACCAGTCCCTCGAGGCAGAGGAGGTTGGCCTATTTGCCTATTTAGCTCCGAGCTTGGGTTCTCAAAGTTTTTGCGTGCGAAAGGCGAACCAGTGCTGCCGCCAGCCTGGATCTGCTTTCTGGGGATAGGTGAGGACTTCGAGTGATCAATACCTGCAGAGCGCGGGATTGTAGATTCCTTGTGCGGGTTGAATACGTGATCTGGTGAAATAACCCCACTGTCACCCTGTAGGACCTTTTGGCTATCATTGGGGTCGAGTAAAACCTTACTTGTGAAGAATCCAACGTGGGTATTGTGATGATGATTAATAGGCGCCTCAGGCTGCGGGTTGAGACTGGGAGCCGGAAGCACCGGCACAGATTGCGGGGCTATGTGAGGTGGTGGTGGTGATATCTTTGGACCCGGTTGTTGAGCATTGCGAAGATTGTGAGCGGTGTTGTTAGCTATTGAGTTGACTCGTGGCCCCAGTTGGCCAGCAGGAGTAGGTGTACGGGGCCCCTGGGGCGCATTGGGAGGCTTTTGAAGGGGTCTGTGCCCAATCGCTGAGTTTTGAGGCAGCATTTGGGGACCACGATTTTGTGTCTGGAAGGGGCGGGATTGTTGGGCCGGTGATTGCGCTGGAATATTAGGAGAAGACCGTCCATGTTGACCATTTTGTTTTTGCGGTCCTAGGGCTGGTATGTTTTGGTTCTTTGGGGCAATCAAAGCATGATTTCCGCCCGCTTGAGCGGCTGTGGACTTAGCTCCGGTAGGGGTTGGTGGAGTGGATCTCTTGAAGACATTATCGCTGGAGCTGAAAGCAAATTAGCACAGGCAAGCTATCACAATTGGATGTGCTCACACTGCTTCCACTATGTCCTCATCTGCTACATGCTCACTGAAATCACCACCGTCTTCGAAAGCTCCCAAGTAATCATATTCATCGCCTGTACACTGTTAGCAAGAAGCAGTTGCGGCCAGGAAAGTGTCATTTAACCTCCATACTCGTCGAACCCCTCGGCCAGATCTAAAAAGCAGTTAGCTCTCAGATTCGTCCAATGCTCGAACGAAAACATTACCATTCTCGGAAATAATTTTCTCTCGGGGCACCTCGGGCAGACTCTCTAGAAGACCGGGGGTTATAAGACTTTCCTCTTGCTTTACGATACGATCACGCATCGACCGGGGCTTGTAATAGTTGGGCTCTTGAACGGGCTATTGCGCAACCGGTCAGTCATCGAAGGGAAAGGTTGGGGGTTTGGGTGCACCTGAGCTGCCTTCATTCTCCTTGTTCCCTTGATATGCTGTTTATCATACAGACAATTTCCCAACGCATTTCCAAATGTTCTGAACGTTCGCTTGAGTGCATCTGTAACAGCCTGCTTCTTTGACGCAACAATGGCGGCTGACTTAGTCCTTTGGTTTTGCGATTCGCCAGTCCCAATATCCTGAGCGCATCGGTAAGTTTCTGATGCCGAGGATGTTTGCCAGAAAAATGGAGGGATGTACCTCACGAAAGGTTCCGTCCTTGAGAGTGATTCGTAAATGGACGGAGGTGGTAACGGTCCATTTTCCGTAGCTTTCTAAACACTATCGTAAAACATGTGTCAGCTTTCAAAGCCTTCTGTATCCCCGGGCACCCGAAAACACAAACCTCGTCTATAGTAATATCCTTAATCTCCGAAGACCAACCATTAAAACCAAAAATCTCATTAGCTAGGGTGACTGCGACATCACCCCTCAGATAGGCCACGCTGCTACCCCCGGGCGCTGGTCTATAATTGACGTATTCGGGGCCAAGCATGCCGTCAAGCTGTGCTTGTAGGCCCTCCCGCTCCAGCCTAGAGTAAGGGATCACCCGCTGCGAAGTGTCCCCGGAGGACATTATGGGCTGGGGATATTGATGAGGATAGAGGGAGATCGTTGCACGCTTCTCCAACAGTTTGTGGAACTAGGTGACAAGATGGCCGTTGGGAGGATTAGGCCTTGTTCTTTCAGCGTGGGGGGGGGGTGCGGGTTTTTGGAGGAGCTTGATGGGGCTAGAGTACTGGCATCATACCTCACGGTTGGAAGCTGGGAAGACGCGCGAACGCACCAAGGGATTAGTGTAATCTAATCTAATCGCTCTCAGCGTGACTCAGGCAGCCTTTGTCACGGTGTTACCCGGTGTAAAGACTCCTGGAAACTGTGGGTTCGGTGCAGGGTGTAACCAGGGGTGGGTTGATTCCTCAGTGGCCCTTACTTGTAGCACACCCCAGCTCTTTGTAATATATCTATAGCCACACGCATAGTGACTGTGTCGGGAATCCTCAGTGGATAATCCAACCTATCTGAGGGCACAAGTATCGGGTTTTCGTTCGGTAGCCTGCTCGTACAGTACTGTACCGGTGGTCCAACCTATGTGGTTCAGCTCAAGTCTAAATTTAGCATCCATCTGTGGCTGCGCTGGGGCGGGAGGCGGGATACTGCCCGGGTGCGCGGTTTGCTGAGTGTGATGCATACGGTACTGTAATGGTTAATGATTTTATAATGCCCTTGACCCCGACCTTTAGCTAGGGTATAGTTATGTATACTGTAATTTAAGCTTCCTCACCACGATAATATTATCATAGTATTATGATAATGCACTTTGAAGCACAATCTAGCGCCGCCATCCATTTTCCTCAAGACTTAAAGTATATCTGGTATTGCGCCCGTCCACCTGAACTTAACGTACCGGTATGAGAGCAGATCTCTACCCCATTTCCACTGACATAGCCTGAACGGTACTGTACTCGGGCACTTCGGGTGCCGGTAATTGCTGCCGTGTGCGGGGGCCCACTAGCTGCCCCAACTCATCGGCGCTGCCAATCTTCGTCCCCTCACCAGTCTCTAGCAACAAGCTAGCGTTGCAAACTCAACCGCGGATAACACCATCTCACTTCTGATAAGATTAGTTAAATAACAGACAAGAAGAGTACTATTTTACAGTAGCAGCGCCATGTCCGCCCCGCTCCGTCTACCGCTTCAACGAAAATAAGAAAGTTCAATTTCCTTTACGCAATTATGTCATTGTAACCAATCCATCTAAAAGGAAGGAAGCGCTCTACGTCAAACATTAAGGAATCCAAGGAATCACAGAAGAGGAGAGGGAACGACAGGGACGAGACCGGACCAGTTTCTGAGTAGAGGATAAAGTAGAAAAAGCGGAAAGGGAAGATAGGTCTCGTATATGCCGGGCATCGGGAGATTGGTGAGGCCACGGGGCTTATAGCCAGAGTGAACCGGAACTGACGATGTCTGGAACATTCGGTTGTTAGTGGTGTGTTAACTTCGGGAGGTATGGTAGAGCGGGGGTCATGCCTCTTCTAATTTTACTCATCGCATCCTCGAACCTTTTCTCCAAGCCTTCATTGCCCATGACTTTCGCAGCCATAATCATCTGTCTCAAGAGTTCTTCGAGGCGTCTGAACATTCTGATCAGGCTTCCCTCATACACATCAGTCATCTTACAAATAGTCGCAAAAGACGCGCCCTGACTCCAAGTGTAGACGACTTCCATAAGTTGGTATTTAAACTTTTGGCAATACTCTTCTTCCGCAAGAGGGAGCTTGCTTTCGATAGAGACCTTTGCTATGTGCTTTGCCTGGGTTAGCAGTTCTTTGTATGGCTTCTCGAGCTCGGGCTTTAGCTTGATTTCAGTGTTCGACTTTTCCTCAAACACAAAACAAGAGAGAAGCGCGGCGGTTTGTTCGGGCGAAAGCTCATCGAAAACCCGGTTGAAAAGGAGCTCACTGATGAGAAGTTCATCGCCAGAGCTAATCTCACACGCGACACTGGAAATTTGTTAGCGGAGAAAAGAGACAAGTGAGGGGGGGGCGGACCGGGCTTTAAGCTGAATAACGTCCTGTTCATCGATAAAATTGAGCCGTCTTAGCACACGCTTGCGGTACTTGAGTTCTTCTAGTTTCATTACTGAATGCGCAAGAGTTATATCTCTCCTTACTGCCTTAATCTTGTCTTGTAATTCAACTTTGCGATTGTAGAGGCTATATAAGACCTTCAATCTAGGGGAGTTATGGAGAGGGTTGGAGAGTAGGCGCGATTCGAGAACCTCGATTCTCTAGGGCTATGTCAGTGGTGTGGAGACGAGGTGAGGGCTTTGAAACTTACACGAAGAAGATACTTGAATGAATCGTCGGTAATACCCATATTTTCAATGGGATCAAGGACGGAAATACCATCTACGAAACGCCTTTTTACTTCATCAAGATTTTTTCTGGCGCTGTTTCTCTGCTCTTGTGACTTCATATCCTTGGGGAGGAAGATACGGAGACCAGAGATGCCAGCCAAACAAGAAAGCAGGACAGGTACGACCTCCATTTTTCCGTTATCGCCTTCACTTGGAGGTCTCACTCCTGTGGGGAGCTCCTGACCGGGTCGGGTGAATGATGATGTGTCAGAGGCAATGTTTAGAAGAACATCGACGACATAAGATTCCTGGGGCGAAAACTCCTCTCCACTCTATAGTAACTTAGAACCTGGGACCACAGGGGGAATAACTGCCTGATACGCACCTTCGAACGAAGTCTCTTGGTGTAGTTGACGATGGCCCCCCATCCAAAATCATAATTGAGATACTTCACTTTTACAAGTCTGCCAGGTTGCATAAACTGCAGACAGTAGTTGGGATGATTAATCACTTCGCGCATTTCTTTGGTATAGCCATCGAGTTTCTGCCGCAGGTCATAGTAATCTCGAACGGTCTGCTCGTCTTCGATAATCATATTCATTTTCTCAGTCTCAAGCTCGCCCAATTCTGTGGCATGATTAGCATAAACTAATCATGATTTGGTAGATAATAACCGACCCTTCTCAAGCCCTGCAGCGCTCGCGTGATTTTGGAACTGAAAGAAACACTTTTCGAGCATATACTCGGGTGATATCCCTTCGACTCTCATGAGATTGAGCATCATGTTGTAACCCAAGTAGAATGCCGAATTAAGTCTATCTTGTTCTCCTTTGACGATCTCTCGAGCAGTTGCAGGCTCTAAAGTCTGATCTAACATCAGGATGACAATACCACGGTCATCTAGTCCACGACGCCCCGCGCGGCCAGACATCTGAACAAACTCTGAGGGCGATACCCATCGTTGCACCTTACCGTCAAATTTTCTGACATTTGTAAATACGACAGTTTTAGCAGGCATGTTGAGTCCGAGTGAGAAAGTTTCGGTAGCAAATAAGACTTTGATAAGTCCTTCTTGGAAAAGAATCTCAATGACCTCTTTCAGAATGGGGAGCAGTCCTGAGTGGTGAATACCGATGCCCCGACGCAAAAGAGGTAAGACATGTTGGATTTGGGAAAGTGCTCTATCCTCCTCGGATAATGAACTAATGGCGTTGCCGAATACCTTTCCCACCATTTCCTTTTCAGCCTCGTCGTTGAATGCGAGAGAACTCATCTGGAGCGCAAGACTCTCACACTCCCGCTTACTAAAGCAGAACACGATTACGGGATTGTAATTTTTGATCATAATCATTTTGACGATCTTATAGATGTCGGAAGGACCGCCTAGGAAATCTTGATTAGCACCTTACGGTCAGTGGGGCCAGGATTTCTCACCTTTGTTTCCCCCAGTGTTGGTCTTGTGTTTCCGATCACCCCTTCCTTTGCCCTTTCGCCCATTGAACTCGCTAGGATTGTCCCCTTGCTTTTCGGCAATAAAGCTCATCGCCTTTTGAAAGTTGTCCTCTCTGAAAACACTCTTCTCGTCTACAACAAGATGCATTCCATCGGCACCAGCAGGAAAAAGGTATGTTTGAAGAGGCGTAGGGCGGAAATCAGTGTAAACCACGTGACATGGCTGCTTGTGGGTTTTGCAGATCCATTCGGCAAATTGCATAGCATTAGGAATTGTCGCGGACAAAAAGACATATCTCACCTTGTCCGGCAGAAGGATGATTGTTTCTTCCCAGACAACGCCACGGGCTAGGAGCAATCAGTATTTATTCCAATGTTATGTGGGAAGACGGTGTTGAACCTTTATCCCGCATATAATGGATTTCATCAAATACGACCCATTGAACTTCTCTCATGACCTCCGACCCCCTATAGAGCATAGACCTCAAGATCTTTTATTTCCGTTAGCGGGCTGGTTGACTTCTCCCTCCATGATTGTTTAGTTGAAGTACCTCAGTTGTCATAACCAAACAGGTTGCGTTTGGGTTAATAGTAATATCTCCGGTCATGAGCCCGACATCTCCGAACTCTGCGCTGAAATCCCGATATTTCTGGTTACTTAAAGCTTTGATCGGGCTAGTGTATATAACTCGCTGGTTGTCCCGCAGACTCTGTGCAATTGCATATTCTGCCACAACAGTTTTTCCGGCACTTGTATGCGCACTAACCAGCACACTTTCTCCCCGCTCGATTGCGGCCACCGAAGTCTTCTGGAAAGGATCCAGGGTAAATCCATATGCCCTTGCTGGGGGGTCGGCGAATATGTGGTTCTCGATTGGTTTGTATTGGTAGTCCGTGGGAAGAGAAACCTGATGGCGGACTTGGTGAGGGATGATGATAGATTTTCCTTCCGTATCCTGGGACGTTAGCCCACTTGACGCGGGAACCTCTCTCACCGCGTCAATCTCGAAAGCATCCGTAGCAATCGGATCAGCGCCTGGCTCCCGACGTTGGCGTTTCGCTAACGGTGGGTTTCCGGAGGAAGTCACCATTCCCTTATTTTCACCCACGGCAGGAGCAGAATCTAACGACATGGCATCAGTCCGCGAGTCCGTTATTACAGAATCGCCATCGTTCTCCTGTGGGCGGCCACCACCGTTTGCGAGCCTCTTCTTCCGCTCGGAGCGATCTTTCTTCGATTTGGAGGGGCGGGCATCGTTCTTGACGTTCCCAGCCTGAAAGACATCGAACAGCTCCTGCTCACCGTACATTGTCGTTGAGGCAAGTGGGAATTAAGGTGTAACTGTAGGAGGGGGCGACTCTTTTGATGAGAAACGTTTGTGTTTTGAGTCGGAAGTCGAAGGGTATTTGGTTTAAAGAGCGGAGGATGGTAGGAACTCTTTGAAATAAAAGCTCTGGTTTCCGTACTGGGGGGTAGTGGTGGGCGCTTTTTTCTTGTTTCTTGTCTTGGCACAGGCCCAGCAGGGTTGGAAATACTACCGAAATAAGGTCGGGCCCAGACAAGCCTTGTGTGATCCCGTTGGGAGGTCACAGTCCGCGGGGGTTTCTGGTCTTCAGGATTTTGGAGGTGGGGTCAGAGGGTGATGAAAAGAAGGAGTTATGGTTGGGTTACGATTGAAATATTACGAAAAGGTCACAGGGAGGGGAGAAGGGATGGGGGGTTACGGGATTGCGATCATAGGTTACCTTATAAATGGCTAGAAACAAAAAGAGTCTAGGATAAACACATGTCATGCGCAGCTTCCAGAACGCCTGTTACTTTAGAACCCAAACCCACACATGGGGGGGTGGATATGGGGTGCCATCCATGGGCATCGTCCGACCCTCCATGATACAAGAAACTTTCTTTCTCTTCAACCACTGGCTCCCTATTCCAATTATCTCGTCAAAATACATCTCATCTCCACTCAAGTTGTGAGTTCACCCTCTCTCCGAAATGTCCCACCGGCATTCGGTTCACTCGCCCGCTTAAACCCATTGCTACCGTAGATCCTGCGGTTCCAGTTATCCTTCCTATCCCCTCCGCTTCTTCCTTCAATCCATTTCGCCGCCCCTGTTACTCAAGTCTTGGCCCAAATTGCAGATGATTCAGAGAACCGCACTCCGTTCGGCCCTTGCCACCGCCCGGGCTCCCCACCTTCTGGCTCGCCGCGGGTTGCATGCCACTCCCGCTCGCCTTGGCGGCTACCACTACCCCGAGGGACCTAGGAGCAATCTCCCTTTCAACCCTCATACTCGCTTCTTCCACCTGCGTTTCATCGCATTCTGCAGTTCGTCTCACTTGATCGAATGAGAAAGATTCTGTAGGGTTGCTAACATGGTTGGGGTAGCCGTTGGATTTGGCTTCCCTTTCATGATTGCCATCTGGCAGACTTCGAAGAACAAGGAATAAGTTTCGGTAACCTTGGTTTGCTGAAGCAGCCTTTGCGGTGGAATTGGGGGCTATTTCGGGTGAAGGTGTGGCTGTATGTGGTTAGAGTTATAGAATTCAAGTTCTATGAAACCTCGTTATCGTAATGGCCCATTCAATTCTTTTCGCGTGCTCTGTGAATCGTGACAAAATCTGAGATCCAACAGGAGCTCGAGATGTTTTGGTACGGCGAATATACTCGTCCCGGATTCTATGGAAATCGGTTTACTGAATGTGGGGGCGGATTCAGAGGCTTGTTGATGCATTTTTTCATAGTAGATGCCCTTTTCAATCATCTCAGAAGCGCCAAGCGCTACAAGCATTGATCAGCATCTATGTCATTAGTAAGTTTTCTTCAACAAGCTTAAGGTATTGATTGGGAGACCCGGAGTTTGTAGTGTGAGTATTGTAGTAGTGGTGCAGGGTGGGTCGGGGGTGCGTCGAGTGATAAATTACCAACCAGAACGTGAAATACGGTGGTGGATCAGATCTTAGGAAGAGGCCGGTAATCCAGAAGCTGGGAGTGGTGCAGCGTGGGGAAAGCGGGTTTGGGAAGATACAATGCTAAAGCAAACTGGCCTTGATGCGGGGGGTTTGGGGGCTGCAGAAGATCAGAATACTCGAGTATTTGGTCAGTGCATCGTCGGGGGGGGGGGGGGCGAACTACGGTACAGAACTGCAAAGTATGATACTGCAACTGCCTGAGGAGATGTTTGCACATTTGTTATTGGTCTTGTGATCAATAGAAAGGTGCACTTTGTATGATACTACAGTAATGAGTGGGGGGGAGAGCCGAAGGGATTTCCACCGATGACAAGGGGTTGGCTTCATGGAGTATCACCCATACAGGTACTAACTTTAAAGGATTGATTGTTTATCATATTGTGCGGGTATCGTGCTACTGGAAAGAAAAGCCTCAAGTCAGATGATTCTTGGGGGGTATTTCGGGAGGTTTCGATGCGATCCTGTGTACGAGTATAAATTGCGGAGAGCACATCCGCCGCCAATATCATACCTCAGGTCGTAGACTGTCCGGCGACCGCACTTCCAGAATCCAGCGGATGAGGTGGGTGGGTCATGGGTCATGGGTCATGACACAAACCTTAGTGAAGTGAGGCTCTTTTGAACAGTTTGCCAAATAGCAGGGCCACAGCTTAACATTTCTTCCTGCCCCACCTTCAACCCACTCTTCCATCCATAGTAGTCACTATCCGTTCACCTGCCCCAGGGTACTCAACCCCCTAATCCTTCTCCCGTTGTCTGTATCCCGCTCTCCTGCACCTCAGGAAAATATTTTTCCCTTCCTCCTCTGCTAGCATTCCCTGGGACTTGGCTTCCGGTCTCGTGGCATAGCGGATTCCACTGGGTAAAAAAAAAAAATTGAGAAGGGCAAGCAAGCACAAGAAACGCTTTTTTCCATGCGTAACCTCCTTACCATCGAGCGCTCCGTCGCTGGCACCACTTCCACCGACGTTCCAGACCTCCCCCTCTCTGCTATCGCTTGGGGTGGATCTGAAGATTCACTCATATGTACTCATGGCCCTTCTAAGGCCGAAGCTGCCGTTGAACTGAAACGTGTTAACGTGGGATTCGAATCGTCGTCTAGATCGATTTTCTTGTTGCGTTGCAAGGAGGCATTTGCTGATTCTGTTCAAAAATAGAAGAATGGCCAATCGGTTCCCATCGCATCGTGGGATGCCTCTCCCTGTCCATCGCCATCGTTGCCCTGCGATCGCATTCTCGCCCTGCATTATTTCCCTGATACGTTCTCAACCTGCGTAATATTCGCTGCAGGTGATATTGTGGTCGTTCAGGAAGACCCCACCCCCGGAGTTAACAAAATTGAAATAGTTGGATCAGTTGATGAAGGGATAACCGCTGCAGCATGGTCTCCTGATGAAGAAATTTTAGCCATTACCACTGGTGCATCAACCTTTCTTCTCATGACACGGGGGTTCGAACCCATTGCCGACGTCATCCTTTCGCCGAATGATCTTAGCGCTTCAAAACATGTCTCTGTGGGATGGGGGAAATCAGAGACCCAGTTTAAAGGGAAACGGGCGAGGGCTATGAAAGATCCGACTGTTCCTGAGAAGGTTGACGGCGGCGTTCTCAGCCCCCACGATGATAACGGCACGAGGATTAGTTGGAGGGGAGATGGTGAATATCTCGCATTGTCCTCTGTGGAGGACTCGAAGAGGAGGGTCATTCGAGTTTACAGCAGAGATGGCTCCCTGGATAGTGTCAGCGAACCTGTTGATGGTTTGGAGGGGCCCCTGAGTTGGAGGCCAGCTGGAAACCTTATGGCTGGCATCCAACGCTTCCCCGAGAGACTTGATGTTGCCTTTTTTGAGCGAAACGGTCTCCGACACGGAGAATTCACGCTAAGGATACCAACGGATAAAGTCTCCGATGAGAAAATACTGGAATTACTGTGGAGTTCTGACTCCTCGGTACTGGCCGTTTGTTTCGAGGGCAGAGCGCAGTTGTGGAGCATGGGTAACTATCATTGGTATCTCAAGCAGGAATTAGTATATCCCGAGGGATATCACGTAGCGCAGCGTAATTTGTGTGTGAAATGGCATTCTGAAAAGCCGTTGCGACTTGCGTTCGGACTGGGTGGTATGCCGTTTCATTGATTCTTGTAGCGGGCACTATCACTGATAGAACCGATTAGAGAGTATTATCAGTTACGAATTCTCCTGGTCCGTGTTTGCGGGCACTTCGAGATCACCAGATGATTATGGTGTCCTAGCATCTGTAGACGGAAGTATGCGAAAGAAAACCCCCACAAGAGTGCCCCTGATTATGACGTGTGTTGCTTATGATGAATGGATCTAGCTACCCTCAAGCTTACACCGTTGCGTGTTGCCAATATTCCACCACCAATGGCGCTCAAAGAAGTAGAACTCAAGTCTACTCCGGTGGATGTAGCTATTAGTCCTAGTGGACGCCTTATCGCAGTCCTTAGAGATAAGGCGTTGGATTTGATTCGATGGGATTTTGCCAGAAACAAACTCGTTTCGGGTCCAATCCTCACCTCAAATATCGTGGAGTTTGACCCTGGCCAATACCCCCGTCAGATTTCTTTCGCGGATGATGAGACGTTAGGAGTGGTCCGTGATATCGGGGTGGGCAGCGTGTTGAAAGTGATATCAATTCCAAACGATGGACAAGGGATTTCGAAATGCACACACGAGTTTCAAAACGGTGCTACCGCTGTGCGGCTAGGAGGTGTACCGGGCCGTAGAACTCTTTTCTATCAGGATAGCGAACGAAATGTTTATTTCTATGACACGGAGGACAGGTCCGAGAAATATATCACACAACTCCCGGCTATTTGTCCCTGGTTAGAAATAGGCTTCCATCAAGTAAGCGTCCGTATATATATATATATATATTGTGCATCCCTTGCTCTAACAACCAGTAAGGAAATGGTCTTTGGTCTCTCTGGTGATGGCCGACTCTACGTTAATTCTAAACCCATAGCTTCGAACTGCACGTCATTTGCGATTACCCCAACCCATTTGGTATATACAACAACACGGCACTTCGTCAAGTTTGTGCACTTGCACGACAGTTATCAAGGTATGCCAACGGCCGGTTGAGATATTCCGGGCTAACATAATTAACGACTAGAGTTGGATATACCGGGAGATGAGCCAAGTGGCGATGAGCGCTGCCGAACCATCGAGAGAGGCGCCCGATTGGTACAAGTAATGCCAACTAAATTTGCCTTAACTTTCCAGATGCCACGAGGGAACTTGGAAACAATATACCCTCGCGTTTTAGTGCTGGCGGGAGTTAGGAGGAGTATTGAAGCTAAGGACTACCTTCCAGCATTTTTGGCGTGCAGAAATCATCGGGTGGATCTCAATATCATACATGATCATGCACCCAGGCAGTTTATTGAGCTGGTTGAGCTGTTTATAGATCAGGTCAAGACAATTGAATACATTGATTTGTTTTTGTCCCAATTAAGGCAAGCTTTCCGTAATTGGCTAATATAAGATAGTAAAACCAGTTCTCTGCTGACAGTGGACCACAGGGAAGAAGATGTTTCAAAAACGATGTACCGGGAGACCTTGAAATCGGCTGAGGCCCCGGAGCGACCCAATCAGATAGGCTCTATTAATAGTCCCAAATCGAAGGTGAATACAATATGTGATGCTTTTCTTAATGTTCTATTACCAAAGCGGCTCTCGAGCAACCTTCAAAACATCGTCACCGCCTATGTTTGCAAAACACCGCCCGACCATGACGCGGCGCTACTACTGATCGGGGATCTTCGGGGTATGTTCGTGTCTGAGGTGTATTGTCCAGGTATGCTGAATTTTCAAAGCGAAAAACCCCGAGCTTGCCGAAGAGGCAGTCCAACATGTTTGCTTCTTATCCGATGTGAATGGGCTCTACGACAATGCTCTAGGGCTCTACGATCTTGAGCTCACACTCATGGTGGCCCAGCAATCCCAAAAGGTAGGTGCTGTTGGCTGAGGTATCTTTGGACATGGCACTAATTACAGCGTAGGACCCCCGGGAATATCTACCATTCTTACAGAAGCTTCAAGAGATGGAAGCCACACGGCGTAAATTCACAATCGACGATCACCTCAATAGACCCGCAAAGGCCTGTGTTCGCTTGCACGAAATTGGTGATGAGGTATTTGGCGAAATGAAGAACTATGTTGTGAAACACGAGCTCTATTCGACGGCTCTAGGATTGTGCAAATACAGCCCCGACAAGTTACAGGCATGCTATCCGATTTTTCTGGAGTAATCGGCGCCACTGACTAGGGTAGGTGATCATGAGCTTGTATGCGAATTTTCTTGAAGAAGTCTCGAGATATCAGGACGCAGGATTGGGTGGGTTGCAACCGGATCCAGATGTGTACGAGTGAGAACTTATGTTTGTGACAGCGTACGAATCTCTTGGAGACTATCCACGGGCGACCCAATGCTACCGTCACGCTGGACTGTGGCAAGAAGCTCTCTTCTCCGCCACTCAGGTTCCATACTCAGCGGAGGACCTTGAAGAACTTAGTTTATCTCTCGCTGATGCTCTTTGTGAGTCGAAGGACTATCAGAGCGCTGCTGAAATCCACATGGATCACCGTAATGACTTAGAAGAAGCGGCTAAAATACTTTGCAGGGGCTGTCATTTTAGCGAGGCAATGAGATTGGTAACTGGTATTCTTATCTGTAAATTATTCTGTCAACTAATAAGAAATTAGGTTGGCAAACACGGCAAATTAGAGCTTCTAACCACTGTGGTGGATCCTGGCTTGGCAGAGGGCTTTGCGCAAACATCGGAATTGATAGCGGAATGCAAGAGACAGCTGAAGGCACAACTAAATCGTATTCACGAGCTACGTACAAAGAAGCAAGAGAATCCATGTGAGTATCCTTTCTATCCACTTTCGAGATATTAAGCTAACCGCACCTCTAGTGGCCTACTTTGATAGCGTGGCGGAGGAAGACGCTCCGGATAACGTCTCTTTAGCTCCAACTAATGCCTCAACATCTGCATCTCTCTTCACAAGGTACACATCCGGCGGCGCACAAACCGCCATGACGGGGGCTACCCGCCGTACCTTTAAGAACCGCCGGCGCGAAGAGCGCAAGCGTGCTCGTGGTAAGAAGGGTAGTGTGTATGAGGAAGAGTATCTGGTTAGCTCAATCGGCCGTATGGTTGAAAAGCTTGACTCGGTAAGGGGTGAGACCAAGAAGCTACTGGAGGGCCTTATCCGCAGAAGGATGAGGGAGAGGGCCATCGCGTTGCAGACATTGATGGAGGAGGTGTTGGCTAGTTTGGAGGGGTGTGTCCAGGAGGTCTTTGAAGAGGCCGGGGAAGTGATCAACCCGGAGGCCGGCGTCGAAGGAGGCGGGAGAAGAGCAGCCCCAATCATTAAAAAATTCGACGGGGTGGGAATATTGTAAATTTTTTCTACATGTGTGGTGCCACATCCGAACATTAAATGGCTAGCGGTAGCCCTCATAGCCTTCCAATCCATAGCGTATAGTGATAATCGATGATCCTGGTAATAAACCACCTTCAAAAGTCAAAAACTGCACCAGTGCTATCCAGCAATGCTATCGCCCTTAGAAACCACAGATACCAAATCAAACGAGCACAAACAGCACCCAAACGCATGCCCAAAATCGCGCCCAGTGCTCTACCTCAACTACGGTATATTCGTCGATCGAAATCGTGAAAAACCAGAGCGTGCCAAAAGGTCGCAAGTTGCTCTCGCGGCCTTTATAAGAAAAAGAAAAAAGAGGGAGAAACAAAGTGGTGCGGTAGAGGAACGACCTTTATCCGGAGAGGGTGTCCTAATTATCGGAGATAAGTCAGCTTAACAGGGCGCGATTAATTACTGTATTCAAGTAGTACTGTGCTAGTACGGTACAGCACACTAAAAACGTATGGCAAGGCAAGGCAATACGGTACTTCGTAGAGCGACACTTTACCGCCCCTAAACGCCCCTCCCCCCGGTCCTGTACTGTACTGTACACACCAGAGTATTTACTAGAGGGCCCCACAGGCCTCCAACGAGCAAAACCACAGCAGTCCAATTGGCAAAGCATATCTCATCCCCGATCTATCTCCCTTCCTCTCTCTCCCTCCAACAAACCAACAATGGCACGTTCATTCTTCGGGGAGTGGAACAAATTGCAATATCATACATCCATGGGCTCGGGTACTCGGGTGCAGTATGGTGATTGATGGGTGTATGGATGGCTGGGCAGATGTCCGATCCATCATCGATTATCGGGGACGTTGCAGCGTGCATTTGCACATGCTATGCGGTCGCCGTCGTGTGATGGATGGGTCATGGATGCGCACTCGCGATCGGGTCAGGATCTCGTCACGGGATCGCTCTGAGCTGAGCCGGACCCTCGTTGCCTGCGCTGGTGGCGATGGAGGTGGGGGAACGTTCCGGATTTCTTGCCAAGTTGATTGATTGACTAACTGACTGGCCGATTGGTTGTATTGGGATGGGCTGTTGGAAAGGAGAGGCTTTATGGCTATTGAATGGTTTGGACCGAAGGAAAATAAAAAAGAAGGAAAGGAGATACAGCAGGAGGTAGGGGGGGGGGAGATCATGATCTGAGATTTTTTTTGTGGGGTTTTGGAGGATCGGGGTTGGGGTGGTGTGTGGTATTGGCTGGTTGGTTAGTTTGAGCTCGAGGGGAAAAGAATGTTGCCCAAGTGCTCCCCTATGCTGCTGAGAAGCCTTCTCGAGCACTGGTATTCGACCGGAGCTCCCCAGTAGAAATAGTTGGAAAAAGCATATAAGAATGCTAATTTACTCCTTAAGTTACGAACGTTACATAGGCCCACGAGCACAACCCGTACATAGTGCTACCTAAATTTACCTGCCTACCGTACTCCAGCACCTACCTTCACATCTACTCGAGTACCATTCTACCTGCATGCACCACCCACTGTTCGACCTTCCGCCAGCACAAAGAAAAGGGGAAAAAAAACCTGCAAGAAGCCAAATCCATAGGTTTAAAAACCCTGCTTCGGGCTCGTGCGCGCCACCCATCAATCAATCAAGCAAATAATCAGGGCCCATTCATTCATTCATTCATTCGCCCACTAAATCCCATCCACTGGTACAGCATGTCCACATATAACTTACCACCGGGACAAGGACGCCGGGTTATCCCGTGCACCTGGTGACGCCTGTATCGTCATTCACCCGACCCGATACATGCCAGGCAATCCCTTGGCGCGCGAAAACCACAACTAAACCCGAACCATTTCGAAGGAATAAGGAAGCAAGGGCCATCGGCCTATGTGGGGCCTTTCGGAATGTTGGACCGCAGTTACGCATATGGTCATTCAGGTCATGTATCTCAGAGTTCGGTCTCTATGAAAGCCCGGGATGGCATTGCCAGCGGAGATAGAATGGGTAGAGGGTGGATGGGTGGATGGGTGGATGGGTGGATGGGTGGCAGCTAGTGAATCTTTGCCCGTGAGAGTACAGTACGGGTCTGTCCTGAGGTGCAGCTCATGGAATATCACTCATGTTTATTGTTGGATTGAGTATCCATCCTCCACACGGACTTGTCCCTTTCCGAAATTGCCCGCTCCTTTTGTCGTTCAGCGGCACTTGACCTTTTCTCATCTCTACTCCGTCCCTCTCAGCTTCGCGATCACACCTCGCTCAACTATGACGTGCCATCCCTCCACACTTGTCACTCCCCGTTTCTCTTCCACCTGCCCCCGCCTTTTTCAAATACAGCCGATCTTGGCTCCCCTTTAGTTTTACTTTCCTCCGCTTTTCTTCCTCCCTTAGTTCGAGGATATTAAGGCCACTTCTGTGGGTGAGGTAGACAATCAAGCTTATTTTCTCTTTCTCTGGCCACACGCGATTACACACATTTTGGAGTTAGAATATGGGAATTGATGCTCGCTGTCTAGCGAGGGCTCGATAGGACAAGATGTCCAGGATGTATCTGTGACTTACTGTTCACGAGACCCGAGAATTCACCTCTCTGACATCTTCGAGCCGCAGGTATGCGGGGAATCGATAGTACGCCTGTGATCGCTTCTATCATTGCCATCGCGGCGGACGTTGCGGACACCCTCTGCTGCGAATACCTGTATGCGGCGGCAGCGCGGGTAGGGTGAAAAATTAAAAATTAAAAATTTACGCCATAACCCCTAGCTCCGAGGTGTGCTTATCCACCCAGTTAATGCTAGATTAACGAGATTTTTCGCGATCCTGGCCAGGGGTGACGATCGAATGTGGGGAGTGAGGCGCCAGTTTTGGTGATTCGGGGGGAATGGAGCCCAAACGAAAGGAATGGACTTTTCTCTGTCGGGAACCTTAAATTCGACAATGCCACTAGGATTTCGATACGAACTTTCTTACAGGGACCGTTTCCGGACACCTGATCCTTCTTCTGACAGTAACGTCAAAACTTCTTGGTTCAGAAAGTGAGCAAATCACGTTGGGTTTAAGCCAATCTCGGATTTGACACCTCCCCTCACTCGCAGCACTCACGCATGCGAAGGCCCGTGAAACGAGATGAGAGGCAAAAGTAGCGTAATGATCCCTTGTGATGTCCGACTTAAGAGTCGGACATAGTGTCTTAGATGAGATTGTGATCAATGATCTCACTTGCAGAACCCTTTTGTTACAGACTTGTCATTTTACGGGCATGTGATAGCCCTCAACTGCCATCCCTTGTTGTCACTTTGTAGTACTGATTGATGTTTCCGTTGTCCATCTCTCATGGGTGCTCGTGATTGCTCCGAACTTGCGATCAATCCAATTATTTCTGGTTTTGGGTCACAATTGGGCCCTTCCGGGGATATCTGCGTTCTTTGGATAGCCCAAGTCAATTTACCCATAAGATAGAAAAAATGTCCATGTGTAACGATGAGCAAAGAGACCCAGACATAAAGCCAATGACTAAACACGAAACGGGAGCGTACGGGACTTGCTGACGCTCTATAATGCTCGAATCACTCTTCAAGCGCTCCCTTTGGTCGAGTGATGCCAGCGGGACAGGAGGCAATTCAGCAAGCTGAGCCGGGCCAGCAGACTCCCGAGTCAAATTCTTGCGCCAGGGCCCAACTTGATTAGTGAGACCACAGACAACCACTTCCAGAGAGAGGGTCCAGTTCCCGGCGTAGAGGTTCCTACCGAGCTCCACTCCTCATATCATACCGCCCTCTCCTTGCGAGGCTTAGGTTCCAATCTCTAAACCCCATCATCTCACGCCAGGGTAGGTATCATGGCTTCACCCACAGATCAGGTCTATTGATTCCCCCTAAACAGGAGAAAGTGGACCTAATTTCAATTGCATATTTCTTGCTCAATCGCTGGTACGGTTATTCTCCATATCGCTACTGCTGTAGCATTGCATCATGAGATATGACTCGGGCGCACGATGTCCATTACCAACTGTCCTCCCTGGTCGCGGGGCGAATTGGACTTCCATACAATCCCCCATCCTTTCCTTGAACGCCATTTCGCGGATTAGACGTCCTAGTATTCGGGCAGTCCTCTTGGACAAGGAGATATCCTATTGACCGAGTGGGTAGCTTTCCCAGTGGGGATATTACCAGTGGTAAGGCAAATTTCCACCCATCCTAACAGTCATGTGGGCGACTTGCCTATTGGGAGACACCCCGGCTATCAAGGATAGTTATTCTCGTATCTGTCGATTTCGGGAACCTTTCCCATCAAATCGCTGGTCCGTATGCAGCTCAGCTTCCCCATTGAGCGGGAGGGGCCTCTCGGTAGGCATTTTCCGATCTTCGATCTAAAGATGCTTGATAAACGCTAGCGTGCTGGATACACCCGAATACCGCCAGGTCATCTAACTTGATAGTTTCCCTCGCTACGTTCTCCAAGAAGCCTTAGCCCTTGACCTCTCCCATGCATCTCTGGCAGTAGATATAGCTCGGCGGTGGCTGTCTGCTGGTCGCTTGTGACATATTTTATACGTCGCTGAGCTGCTGTAGGGAGCTAATTGAGATCGTCGACTTCTAGAGGACTGCCCGTACTGGGGTCCGGAGCGTGTATTAAGATAGGAGAATCTTACTGGCGGTGGAACTACCTACAGTGGGTTGATGGGGGAAAGTGAATATTTGTTTACTTTGACAAACTTTACGACCCCAGATATGTGCCCTAAATGTCCATCTTTTAATCCCCCACGATACCTGGTAGGCGGGATAGCTCGGAGCCTTGCTTGGTCACTGGGATATCAAAGCCACAAAGCGGCCTGTTTCTTAAAAGGGACAGCCACCCGGCCGAGCGGACTTCTTGGAGAGGAGGATGGAACAGATACGAACGGACTGCATAAGAATTTGCTTCAAAAAACAGAATGCACTGGATATCGCCATTATGAGAGTGACGATCAAACTCAGAAGGTAAAATCACATAATTTTTCGAACCGCAGCAGCTTGCACAAGTACAGTTACAGACTTCGACCAAGCATCTTGCTATAAACATAACTCCCTTGCATGTGCCGGATTTCGCAGTAAAATCAAAGAGACAACAGTCGAACGGAAAACAAAAAGCAATTATATGTATCATCACTCCCCAGTAACACCTTATTCATACCCCATTAAGGCAAGCTTCTTTCTCGAGCTTCTAAAATGATCTTCTTGGTTTGAGGCGAGAGCTGCATTTTCTCAATATGCGGCGCGTATGCTGTCGCCATATCCTTAAAACCTTCTTTAAGGGCTGAGAGTAGCAAGTGCGGTTCTACTAAATTTAGTTCGCCCTTCTCTTGTTTTTGTATAGCTTCTACGTCTGTCCAACTAATTGGTGGAGAAGCAAGATACTTCTCGAGCGTACCCATCGTTGAAATGAAGGAAGCGAGGAGTGTGGAGGCATGTCTCTGAACAATACCGAATTCATCTTCCATGAGAGATGAGGTTACCAGGCGAGAAATCGCTAGATATGCGTTAGCTTTGAGTGCTCTTAGAGGCGGGCAAGAAGGACAAAGGCAAATACCTTGTACAGCATTAATTTGCAATCCCACATTTGGAAGAAGTTGTGAGGTGGTAGCATGTATGCTCTGTCTAAACATGCTCCCCCAAGGAGAGGAGAGAAACGGCTCCATTTTCGATTTAAAGCTTTTAGTGGCACTAGCCTCCACCTCTGCGATTGATGGCGGCTGATAAGGAAGTTTCTGAATCACATGTTGGAGGGTGGGCGTTGATCCGTCTTTCGATTGGACACCCTCTAGAAATTTACGTGTAGGAGAAGTTGGGGATGTTAACAAGGGACTGATTGGACTCATAGGGATCGGAGGGGGAGAGGGAATGGTTGATGCTGCGGTGCTACTGGGCGTTATTGCTGTAATAATCCATATTAGGGTCCGTTTTAGAAAAAGGCCGGCGAAGCAAACTTACATATCACTGCTGTAGGCGCTGGGGGCTTCCCAACATCCGCGAGCTTTAAATCAATTTCCCCGAGGACGGATAGAGCCTGGTTCAAAATTTGCTCAAAGATGTTGGCCGGTTTGCGGTTGATATCAGTGTATATCGCCTTTCTACGCGCTGCCGAATTTTGTGAGAGGTAAGCCAATTCCCAGAAAGCCAACATCTACAGAAAACTTTAGCAAGCATTCACCAAACTAGACACACAAGAACAAACCTGTGTCAATGGCGCTTGGGAAGCCTTTAAGCCAGTAACCAGAGTCCCATTAGGGTCGGGAGACTTCTCACTGACAGTCTTACCATCCGCTGAGAGAGGCTTTTGGGTGAAATAAACATCGAATGCTATGTTGGAAATTTGCCACATGACCCCAATGAGAAATGAAAGCCACAGGGATCTAATAAACATGCCAGCGCCGACAGGGAATGAAGGAAGGGTGCTAGATCGATTAAGCCTGGAAGACAACACCAAATCAATATATAAAACTCTCTTACTCCGGCTAGCGGTGGTGTTACCAGTAAAAGGTTTTGGCAGTGGCCAGTGTATAATGCCATACAACTCCGCGAAAAGGCATGTAGGCAAATGGGGCCGTACAAGCAGATACGAGCGCCATGTGTAAGGCGCCAGAAGGGACTTCAAGAAATTTCTTCTTGAAGGCCGCCTTAGGGGATAACTGCGATAATTCAGCATTCAAGACAGAGGTAGGCTCAACCTCACTTGGCCATACATAGAGATGCGGGAGTTGGAGTCTCCCCCGATCCTCGTAAAGATGAAGCGCTGCTTGGATAAATCCAGTATAGCAGGCAAAAAAGATCATATATAGGAATCGCTCATTTAGCCGCGGGCGCTCATAGCTCCTAAGGGGGAGATTAGTAAATGACGGCAATAATACGCTATTTCTCTGGTTACATACTTTCCCTCGATGATGAAGCCAAGGCGATCCTCCCTCGAACCAGACCACAAATAGAGGAAAACAAACACTAGAGAAGCAAATGAGTGTGTTAGGAGAGTCGAATAGGTCGAGAAAGATCCGATATATGTCTTCATTGCATGAAAGACAGTCGTATACGATCTTGCGCCCACTATTTCCAGGGGTCAGTGCTGCCGTACGAAAATCATCGAACCAGCCAAGAGAAAGCTAGAGAGAGGGCTACCGTGAAGCTGCGAGATCCGAAGGATGAGTATGGGAAATACGGATAGGAAGAAGAGTATGACCGCCTTAAATCCGGTCCATCCCAATGGAAAAATCGCCCAAAAAACTAGGGTCAAATACCATCGTCAGTCTCTCGCAGAGCAACGCGATAACAACGAGGGAGGCTAACAGCTCGACTTGTTACTTATCACGAAAGATTCAACATAACAGGCGGCAAAACCAACTAGGCATGCTCTAGCAAATCGTCGATGGAGAATAGGGGTCAGGAATGTCTGATAGTGAGGTGGTGGGGACCTCGGGGGCGTGGACGAGGGAATCGATCTGGATATTGAGGACACCATAGTGACTGAGGGAGAGGAAATGCCCCCTCGGTGCTGCTGTAGCCAAAAGAGGGCGTGTGTTATCGGTGACCGGGCAGGAAGGTTCAGGTAGAGGCAGCGAAGTGTTGAGCCAAGGTTATACAAAGCTGGCGGTGAGGTTCAAGAATGTCGATGGAAGGAAAATCATCGCGTGAATCGTAGGCATTGCCCTAACGCGCTGCGAGGGTTGCGAAAAGTAAGATATATGATAGCTTGGCGCGGCACTTGAGCCGCATCACATGATGTCGCACGATGATTTGTTGACGCCTTCAATTCAGAGATTGGGAAAACAGACAAACCCCCAAACAATTGACTCGGGAGCGCGTTTCCCACCGAACAACATTCACTATGGACTCTTCCCCCTTTAACCAAAATCCGCACAGAAGATGCTCTAACGTTCCAGGCAATCCTCTTTACGGCTCTCCTCAATCTCGAGGCGCTGCTCCCAACCGCACTCTGTTTGCAAATCAGCGTGTTGCAGTATGTTCTGCCTACTGCGCCGAAGTATATGTTATAGCTACTAAATAACTAATCTGTGTCCCAGTCCGCTTCTTCGGTCCAACCTAGCTATGATTTTCTCGCGCAAGCTCCATCCCCGGCTGCCCCACCACAGCAGCGGTTACTACCGGCGGGGATGAAGGCCGGTAATCCTCACCTCACACATGCCCCTGATCTAGGCATTCGCTTACCACGATACCCAGATCACTCAACCGAGAGCTTGAGGTCGGAACTAAACACGGCGCGATACGAATTATCAACCTTGCAAGACGAGCGGGAGCTCGAGAGAATCCACCATGAGAAGGAGCTTAGAGCCCTAGAAGCCAAGTGTGAGGAACAGGCTAAACGAGCAGATGTGAACCTCTTAGACTCCGCTGTCTTCATCTCGTGCTAACTCAAAATCTCAGTCTGCGGAGAGCGATAAAACCTACCTATTCAACAGACAAAAGGAGCTATCAGAGAAATTAGAGAAGGTGAAGGATCAAGCGACAAATCAAAAGGTAGGTAGCGTTCGCCGACTCAAGGAGTGTACAGTCTGTATGTGCTAAGATCATTTTGTAGCAAGACCTAGACCGCCAGATCCGACGATTAAAATTGGAGAACACGGATCTGAAGGAACAGGTTGGCGATAAAGATGGTGACATACAAGCCCAGGACCGGCAACACCGTCGCCAGGTAGAGGAGCTTAAGACTAGGAACGAGTCTCTTGAGAAAATCAACAGCGAGCTCAAAGAAGATCTCGAGACCAAGTGTCGTGGTTTACATGAAACTGAAACAAAGCTCGCCACAGGGGAGACCAAAATAAGCAATCTAGAGACAGAGCTCCTAAGAGCGAAGGCACAAACAGGCGACCTAGAAACATTAAAAATTCTCAAGAAAGAGCTTTCTGGTATGTGCCACCTATTTGTCCTGTATGCGCGGGTATCGGGGCTGACCGTTTCGCAGAGCAAGTCGCGCATATCAAAACATTAGAAGTCACCAATAGAAAACTTTCATTGGAGGCCAAGCAGCTACGAGATTATAACAAGTCGATCGAGATATTGGAGGAAGAAAAACAGGCTTTGGAGGTTAGAGTCAGACTGTTGGATGAAGTTAGACATGAGCTTGCGGAAACACAGCTTCGCGTCTCAATCCTCCAGGATGAGAAGAACTCGTGGGGTAGCTTCTTTGAGAGTGAAGGGCTTGAGTTTGACTCTCCAGAGTGCCTCGCCCGGGCTCTTATACAGGAACGCTTAGAGAAGGCTAGCCTACTGGAGCAGGCAGGTCGTACTAATCCTGAGCTCGCACAAAAGGACACCCTTATCGAAGAACTTGAGGGAAATATCCGAAGGTTGAGAGAAGAGTTGGAAAAGATGGGCGAGACTACTTCCAGAGATGCTAGGGCAAGAACCCGTTTGGAAAGACAACGCGCGCTTGCGTTGAAAGAAGCGCAATTCCTACGAGAACAATTACAGTCATTCTCAACTGAGGAAACCACATATATGCAAGGAAATTATGACGAACAGAAGACCAAGCGAATTGAGGAGCTTGAGCAAATGCTGGAGAAGTATAAGCAGGAGAATGATGTATTGGTAGCAGAGTTGGCTAAAAGGGAAGGGGGAGATGCAGGGGAGTTGATGGGTAGGAAACGGCACAGAGAGGAAGACGGGGTGGAGAACGAGAGAAACGGGGAATTGGTTCGAAAGAACCGACATTTACAAGATGGTAAGCATCATATTGGCGTTACGTGTTGATAATATGCTCATGAGCCCGGCCCTCCAGAGATAATTCAACTCAACAATACCATCCTTCTTTCAAAGAAAGAAATAGAATCACTTCATATTCGACTCGAGTCACTGGAAAAGACATCCACACGGATCCTGCAACTGAAGGACAATCCCACCAGCCGAGAAGAAGCGATCAAGATTGCCACTCTCGACTCTCTCAGAAAGGAGAATGCCGCCCTCCTCGCACAAGTAGAGGAGCGAGCAGATCAGGTTGGCAAGGTTGTCCCCATCCACACTCTCAACAATCTCCATGGTGAGATAGAGGCTATGGAGAAGGTGATCGGCGAGAAGGAAAAACGTATGACCCGTCTGAAGGAAATTTGGACAGCCAAGTCTCTGGAATTCCGTGAGGCAGTCTATTCACTTCTCGGGTATAAGCTGGACTTTCTACCCAATGGAAGGGTCCGGGTGACCCACATGTTTGCAGGCAATGAAGATCAGAGCATTGAATTTGACGGGGAGAAGGGTGAGTTTCCGCATCCCTTAGCTCACAAGTTCACATACTGACTAACGCTGGTCAATAGGCACTATGAAGGTTGCTGGTGGACCAGATAGCATGTTTCACCGGGAGATCAAGAACCAGTGCAGCTTCTGGATGGCTAGGCAAAGCATACCTTGTCTACTAGCGAGTATTCTTATAGAACAGTATGAGAAAACAACAAGAGCCCAGAGGATGTAGGAGAATAGTGGAAACATGTATCGATAGAGGCGTTTTTGTTTGTTTGTTTGTTCTCTCTTCCATCTCTTTGATGGACTCCAGGTCCTTGAAGATCTGGTGGCCTCCCACAGGGAGGCCCGGGATATGCCCCATAGTTGTAGCATCACACTATTATATGATTAATGTAGAGCCACTATCTAGGCTATTCCATTCGGCTAGAAGCATCACAAGGGATAACTTAGAAATCACTGGAACCTCTATTGTGGTCTGGTAATGATCAATTATGACGCTTTCTCAAGCTTCAGCTTCGCCATACCACCTAAAAATCTACTCGTACCGGTACGATACCGGTATTATCATATACCGTACTAGTAGTAATTAGTTAAACGTGTCGAACCGTTAGCCTTGGGGATGGCTACAGTGCAACCCACAGGCTTCTAGGAAGGAGAACCCAGGCAAACGAAGAAGAAATCTTTGGAAGGGTACGGTGAAGGAGAATAGCTAGGTAACGCTATCCACTTTCCGGAGAGTCCATGCCATATCACACCGCTCGCCATCCTCAGGCTGTTAGTCAGCCAAGGAAGATTTTAACCGCCGCATATCACCCATCCCAACCCTTGGCAATCATGGGGGAGCTGAGAGTCTTGAGACATACCGGTATGCACACAAAACTGGGGGTGGGGGATGTTCAAGGCGAGCGACCCGAATCACCGACCGTTTCCGGACAAAGTGCAAAGAGGCCTGGCAAAAAGGTCCGTGATGATAGAGACGGTACCGGTGGGGGCACAGTAAGTTTATGGTTCTGTTTGAGCGTTACTATAATAGCAAAGCCTCGTATACCGGTAATCCTTCGTTTAGACCTAAACCCCACAGTCCCCGTAGCTTTTACAGCGAGATATCATATCATAAGCTGGATCGCGGGGCGGGGGAGGGAAGAACAGCATAGGTCGGGAACCACAAGAGGGGTTTGGATTTCTATAACCTCCCAGGGGTCTGATAAAGGTAGAGCCTGAAGACGCTTCCCATCATACATGTACCATACCAGCACTTGTACTGTATCTATCCAATACACTACGATACGGTCCTAGCACCAAAAGTCATGAACAGGGTGTCATTCTGTACCAAAACCACATGACCCCAAGGACTATTACCTCACCCAAAACAAGAGGGGACCAATCAAAGAAGTATTATGTGCTCTACCCGAGTACCGGTATAATTGCTTGGCCCATCTCAGTAAAAATCGGGTGATTTTCGCCACCACTCCCGGTATATGTGTGCTGATGGCTAAAGAATCATTTATGAGGTGTTGTAATGTATAATGCCGGTACTTTTTTCACAGAAAACCGGTGCGGTCCAGGGTGCGGTATCCTTTGTCAGTCCCCCCCCGGTGCTTCTGGTATTTCTCTCCCAGAGCCCATTGATAGAGCCCATTCTTTTTTCAGAACAAATTCCATAACTTATGATTCTAATCAAAGCAATTAAGGTTAGATTTTCGGATGTAGGGTTGCTCATTTTTGGTGTACTCGAGTAGAATGGCAACCTATTCTCATGGCTATTGGTCCCAGGCTTGTATATAGTCTACATTCGCATGGTGCGGCCGATGAACTCACGGGAGAGGATGGCTACCGCAGGGCGAGGAGGGGGGAGTTTGAGATGCTTACTAAGCAGCATCGCACACCGTTGCTGAAGCAACAAGTCCAAGCCCAAGTTCATGCCCGTCGGCAGAACCTCCCCAGTAAACCAACATAAAGCAAACAAAGTTTAGCAATCAACCTACTATACCGGCTGCGCGCACCTCCATCCGGTGCTAGTTGAATCTAATCTATTTATGCTGGGAATCTTCACTCTAATATGCTCCATCTTCTCGAGTATCATGTGAATTCTGCGCCTACCGGTATTCTAGATTGGGTTTCATGAGTCTGGTCGACATACTGTAGTGTGCTTTTAGCATGAGCTACCAGTACCCTAAACCCAGAAGGGAACCGGCTCTGATATAAGTTGGCGCTCGGGGGGAAGGGGAGGGCGGGTCTGGTTGCACCTAAAACATACTGTACTATCATATAGACAGGTGAAAACACGTAAATTACATGTTCTCCCCCGACCGCCTAAATCCTACCCTAATCTATCACAATCTCTCACTCGACCTGACCCAACTTGCTAATGTCCGAAGTATTAGTATCACATGGCGACAGAAGTAGGTTCAACCCAGAACACTGGGACTCACGTCGCGGTATGGTGAGGGACTTCTGTAGCCGGAGTAATTTGCCAAGAAATTATTGCTCAACTTCGAGCCGCAAAGGCGTTTCAACAACCACTCTGGTGAGAATTATAGCTCTGTTAGATGATACAGTAGGAGGTCCTCTACACATTAATAGAGAGAAAATGAAAATACCACAAGTTTTCATGGAGTTATAAGGGTTTAAAACTGGGTGAACTTTTAGGGAATGTCCAGTGCATGTTAATTTCCGTTAATTTTCTTGGCACAGTCAGTTAATGGATGTTTGCCAAGAGAATAACCTCTATTGGGTCTACTGCTTGGCATATTAACTTACTATTACTAAGCCGTGATGAATGTCTGCCCGCTTCAGCTACAGATGTCCCTCACCATATGTGGACGCCTCCTGCGGGTATGATACAAGTACCCACGCCTCGGGCACAGGTAGCAAGAGAAGGGTATATGAAATCAACACACTTTTACTGCTAGTCGATAATCAGAGAAGGTGGAGAAAACCAGCAGAATTTTCACTTCAATTTTTACAGTGCGAAGCGACTCCCGTTACGTACGTTAAGCCACCGCCGGGGTAGTGATCTTGTATAATATGGGAAAAATACATTGTAGCTGGTCTCACTTCGAATAATCATGCCGGGGAATATCTGAGGTGAGAATATTTGGAAATCACACGCTGTATTGTACCTGAGAGCTAAACACATTGCACAATTAAATCTCTAGAGCTAGCTTCAGATCTATCTGTACTACTCCGATGCTCGATAAAGCTTTGGTTTTGGTGCGTTTCGCGTATTGTCCCCTCTTCCGCTTTCCCCGACTACCGTACCTGTGGTTGTAAGAACGGGGGCTCTATTCTAAGTCGCTACTCGGTAGAAACACTTGAAGCTATATTTTATGCCACCCAACTCTAGTGGGGGCCCTTTTTACTCACAGTAAACAGGAAACGTAATCTCGCATGATTTGAACATATTGATAATAGCAGTGAGCATCCGGGGTGAGGTATCCATTATACCACTGATACCACCTTGGCTTCTTGCATCAACTTTCCTGCCATGGCATCTCAACACCCTAGCCATAACCGTGGCCGCTCCGGGCTCCAAAGCTAATTGCGAAGACCCAGACCGACTCCAGGAGCTCGTCAATACCCACCACAATACCGAAAAGGTACTCTTACCGCCAGAATTAGCATCCTTTTATAATCAGTACCAGTCAGGCGGTAGTTGGAACACAACTGATGAAAAGCTGGCCTCCTGTGATCGCTCTCTGGATAAGAAGAGGATATTCGCTGCTTATTTCTAACAAACAACAGTGTAATGCCCCTCTCCGTCCCCACCCCTCATGGCCCCATTGACAATCTGCAGCTCCAGGCCCCCGGTTGGTTCTGTTTGGTCTATGATTGAGCGGAGCAAAAGAAACAATCAGTTCAGAAATTGGGAGGAACTGCTCATTACTTTTACTGCTCCTAATGTCATAGTTAAGTCTACAATCTCCTCTACTGGACCAATTCCTATTGGTTTTAATAGTATCGTTACGGAAGACAAAAAAAATACCCCTTCCCTGCAACGCCTTCTGAGAGTGCTAGGAGAGTGTGTGAACGAGAGGCGCGATCCGTTTATTACACCTAAACAGTGTTGCACCGGCCCAAGATATGGGCTCTTGAATGGTGAGTTCGTGGGAACTCTCTTAAAATAAACATGCCTGGAGTTTTGCGAGGCCAAAATTCTGAGGGGGTTAGGTCAACGCCGGGCAACGGCATCATACCTTTTGGCTGACTGAGGAAAGTTTGCTGAATGAGTCTCCAGTCAATTTTTGGCTGTATGATATATACCCAATAGGAGTCCGTTATACAGAGGTCACGGCCTCAGTACCAGTATCCGGGGTCCTGAGTCACCCGAGACAGCTATCCCTTCGTTTGTAGACTATTCGCGGAACCACCGCCGAGACTACCTTCCATGATGTGATAGCTGCCATTCGAATATATTCTCTGCGGATCCTCGGGGTCAGATCCCCTTATCAGCAAAGTCACCATCATGAGGAAAAGTCTACCACACCCCCCGCGAGAATTGAATTGGGTATTGTATCAAGAGAACGTTTCAAGGGTGGGCGTGCAAGGGATCACCCCCGCCCCAAAATATCATTTGAAAATCGGTTGCGGCTCGGGACGGTTCCAGTCATCATCTGTCTGTCAATTTTTAACGGGCGGGTTTCCATGAAGGTCCTACCGGCGGCATTCCCCAAGTCGTGGTCTTTTATCTATTGCTTGAACCCCCCCCCTCCTCCCTTTATTTGGCCGAATCTCTTGAGGGTTTTTGGGGGGGTGTTGCGAGCACTTGCCATTGTTTTTTCTTGCCTGCATAAGCCAGGTTGCGGTCCGATGTCAGCACTCTATCTCGTAGGAACTTAAGGGCTTTTCCGGTTTGTATCATACAATATCACCAAGAACTTAACGTAACCAAACGGAAAGCCCTAAGCTATCCGGATACCATGGGGCATGCTCTTCAGGGTTGGCAGATAGATAAGAAGTATGACATGATAATAATAATAATATTATTATCATTTACCACCTGCCAGCCGCGATAGTTTATAAAAGCTAATTGCTAGTGGGCAGCAGGCAGAGGGGAAACTCCAAAGTCATCAATTCGTATGAGTACTGTACCAGGTTGCATTGCAAACAAGCATAGGAGCTGTGGCTGGGCAGAAGAGACAAGGGTTAGTCTACAGCTCACCTTCCACATCCGCGTTTTCACCCAGCCTCGGGGCTGAGTCAGTTCCAGAAAAATTAGCCGACCGGCTCTCTCGCAAAAAACTTATCACGACTATCTTCGCATATCTCTCGCGTCCTACACTCCACCAAACACTAGAACGAGAAGAAAATGACCCATTACACCTCCCGCTCCCGTTCGCCATCGCCTCACGCTAAGCGCCGCCGCGATGACAGATACGATCCCAGAGACGTACGTTCCACTCCCTCATCCTTCTCGTGTTGATGCCTAATGTTTACCTCTTACTTTTATTTAGCGGAGAGATTACAGGGACCGCCGTGGTGACAGGCCCACTGGAAGAAGGCGCGATGACTATTACGATTCGTGGGATAGGAGCCGTGACAGGGACGATAGAGATAGGGATAGAGATAGGGCGAGAGATAGGTCACGAGGTGGGGAGAGGGACAAAGACAGAGACAGGGACAGAGACAGAGATAGAGATAGAGATAGGGACAGAGATAGGGACAGAGACAGAGACAGAGACAGAGACAGAGACAGAGACAGGGACAGAGATAGGGATAGGGATAGAGACCGAAGGCGCTCGAGGTCTAGGGATAGGCCTAGACGTGCGGATAAGGATAGGGAAAGAGATCGGGATAGCCGACGGGACCGGGAAGATGATCGCAGGGGGGATTCACGGGCAAAAGATGTGAGATCAAGAATACCTTATCCACCGGTACCCAGTGGGCAACTTATTTACAACGGCTGATGAGAAACAGGCTACTCCCCCGCCGACTGCTATATCTGAGGAGGAAAAGATACGGCAGCGCCAGGAGCGCCTGGAAGCGTGGAAGCGCAAACGAGCCGAGGAGGAGGAGGCGAAAAAGAAAGCTTCTCCTGCGGCGCTGATATCATCGTTGGAAAGGCAGCCTGCCTCTGGAATAGTGTCCCCTATCGCTGGTTCAAAGGCCGCGGTGGAGCAGACCCCAAAGTCTGTTGTTGGAATTGTACCACCATCGTCCGCCTCCACTTCTAGCTCCGCTGCTGCCCGTCCAAAAGCTGACAAAAGTCTATCAGCATCCATCAAACCGTCGTTGGGTACGTATACCCGCTGGGCTCCCAATTTAATGCCGCTGGGCCCGTCGCTAATCTGGTGGGCAGTATCCACAAACGGCTCCGTATTGCCTACGAATCGGCCGGTGTCCGCGTTTGGGTTTGAAGGCACGAAGAAGCCTGTGGCTGCAGGAGGAAAGAGAAATCTTGATTTTGGTGAGGAAGAGTCTTCCCGGAAGAAGCTTGAGCGTTTGCCCTCACCACTTCCCAATCAGCCTGGACAGGATGGCGTCCAAGAAGACGTTGACGACGATACCGAAATGCAGGACGCTACCGAAGAGGAGACCGCCGCTGCTGCTAGGGCGGCCGCAGCGCAACGGAGCGAGCGCAATGAGGCGGAGAGAGTCCGGCAGGAGGCCATGGAGCTCGACAAGGAGAACGCGGAGGACGAGGAGGCTGACCCCCTCGACGCTTTCATGGTTGGGATTGGGGAAAAGATGAGCAAGACAGAAGAAGAGAGTATCGGCAAGTCTCAAGTCGAGAGTAAAGACGAAACGCTTTTTGATGATGATGATGGCTTAAACATTGTTTCAACAGAAGCTGATCCAGATGATATATTGGCGATGGCCGCTAAGCTAAAAAAGAGAAAGGAACTGCCGACAATTGATCATTCGAAAGTCAGATACGATTCCTTCCGGAAGAGCTTTTATGTCGAACCCGCCGAGCTTGCCGACATGACTGAGGCCGAAGTTGACGAGCTCCGTCTGGAATTGGACGGCATCAAAATCCGTGGACAAGACTGCCCCAAGCCGGTCCAGAAATGGAGTCAGTGTGGACTTCCGGCACAGACTTTGAGTGTTATCCGACAACTTAATTACGAGAAACCAACATCTATTCAGGCACAGGCTATCCCAGCTATCATGTCGGGTAGAAATGTGATCGGCGTTGCAAAGACCGGGTCTGGAAAAACCATTGCATTCCTCTTGCCTATGTTCCGTCACATTAAAGACCAGCCTCCATTGGAATCACAGGAAGGCCCCATCTCTTTAATTATGACCCCCACGAGAGAACTTGCTGTTCAGATTTTCAAGGAATGTAAACCATTTTTGAAGGCATTGAATCTTAGAGTAGGTCGTCCTTGCACTCCAAAACTTTGTGAATCAACTAATATCCGGCAGGCTGTATGTGCCTATGGTGGTTCACCCATTAAAGATCAGATTGCCGACCTTAAACGTGGAGCAGAAATCATCGTATGCACGCCCGGTAGAATGATCGATCTTTTAGCAGCAAATTCAGGCCGAGTCACCAATTTGAAACGTGTCACGTACATCGTTTTGGACGAAGCGGATCGCATGTTCGACATGGGATTCGAGCCTCAAGTAATGAAGATTATCAGCAATGTCCGCCCTGATAGACAAACGGTCCTGTTTTCCGCCACTTTTCCCCGTAATGTGAGTTGTCCCCTCGCTAGCTTCGAGAGCTGTGCTAATGGCATCACAGATGGAAGCGCTTGCTCGTAAAGTATTGCAGCGACCTGTTGAGATAGTAGTAGGTGCGCGTAGCGTTGTAGCTCCCGAAGTCACCCAAATAGTCGAAGTTCGGGCCGACGATGCTAAATTTCATCGTCTCCTAGAGCTTCTCGGAGAGCTGTATGATAAGGACGATGATGCCCGAACATTGATATTTGTGGACAGACAGGAATCTGCCGACTCGCTATTACGGGACTTGATGCGGCGTGGATACCCTTGCATGTCTATCCATGGCGGGAAAGACCAGATTGATAGGGATTCTACAATTTCGGATTTCAAGAACGGTGTGATCCCTGTCTTAATCGCTACTTCGGTTGCGGCGAGAGGTTTGGACGTCAAACAGTTGAAGTTGGTGGTTAACTACGATTGCCCAAATCACATGGAGGATTATGTCCATCGTGTCGGGAGAACTGGACGTGCTGGGAATACCGGCACGGCGGTTACTTTCATCACTGAAGAGCAGGATCGATACGCAGTTGACATTGCAAAGGCTTTAAGGCAGAGTGGCCAGAAGGTTCCGGAGCCTGTCCAGAAACTCGTCGATGGTATGCGGTTTAAGCTATTTCCCACCCCATCGCTATCGCTCCTTATGGTACTGATTGGCATACAGATTTCAACGAGAAAGTCAAAGCGGGCAAAGAAAAGGCTAGCGGCTCGGGTTTCGGTGGAAAGGGTTTGGAAAAGCTAGATCAAGAGCGAGATCTCGCCCGTCGTCGTGAGCGCAAGCAATTCGCAGAAGAAGGCGATGAGGCAGCCGAAGAGGTTACCGAGGGCGCCGACGACATCTCTAAGGCTGCAACCCCGGTTACTGCGGCCTCTGCCAAGAAGGTCCCCACAGGTCCTGCAGTTGACCTGGCTGATAATATTGTCGTTCACAAGCGAGGAACCTCCAATGCTGATCCCCTGGACAGGGTGAAACAGGCTGCGTCTGTGGTTCGCTCGCGTCTTAACGAAGCCGAGAGGCTACGCACGGGTGTTCCAATTGACAACAAGGGACCGGACGCGGGAGCCTATCACGCAACTTTGGAGATCAACGACTTTCCCCGTAGGTCTTCCGCTCAATATATATATAGCCCTTCTTCCGTGCATATGAACGTCACGCTAACACACGTACAGAAAAAGCACGTTGGGCCGTCACTAATCGCACCAACATCGCAAAAGTGCTGGAAGCTACAGGCACCTCCATCACTACCAAGGGCAGTTATTATCCCACCGGGAAATCCCCCCAGCCAGGGCAAGATCCCAAGCTCTACATTCTTGTTGAAGGCGATACGGAGCTTGTAGTCACCAATGCTATGAGGGAACTGAAGCGACTGCTAGCGGAGGGAACTGCTGCTGCTGTGGACAGTGAAAGCAGAGCTGCACCGAGCTCGAGGTACAGTGTTTTGTGAACACTTGACAGCGTTCCCGGACGGTGTGGGGAAAATAATAAGAGGTCGGCATAGGCTCTCCTTGTTCATTTGTAGATTTTGTTATAGTTCCCTTCTCTGTCCCTCCGTCCCTCTGTTCTGCACCGAAATTACCGTATAGTCTGCCTTACTTGCGCCATAGCTAGCTACCGTAGTTTCAAGGGGAAAAAAACAAAAAACGAGTGCGTTTCCGGATGTTTACGATACAAGATGGGAATGAAAACCCTTAATGCTGTAATCAATTCTATATCCCTCACGCACAATAATTTCAGAGAAGTTTCCCAGTGCAGCATTTTGTGGATGTTGATGCGCGAGTTTGTGTGTATTTCTCTCAGGAGCCACTGTGAGTTTACTTGCACTACTCGTACTTTGCACTACTAGTATTGTGTTCTTAGGATAATTTAGTGCCGAATATCCAAAACTGGCCCTAATCCGCCTTTGCTCAGCAGCAAATACGGGCGGTTACACATGTTCACTCGCCCAAAAAATACCCCGCCTCACCGTCCTCAACCAACGCTTACCCAATCCAAGAGCGGAGCCCTTATAATTGGAGAGAGAAGAGTCGGTTCCGAGCAACTCTATGGAGAGTTTTTTTTCCCGAAATGGTCGGTTGTTGCTGGTGTGGGGTCGTTCTCGCTCTTGGCTGTGTGAGGGTCGATTTCAGGCGCCTGGCGTCGTATGTACTCGAGTACTGTACAGTACTGTAGTTCTACGGTTCCGCTGCGGGAACAAATACCCGTATATGTGTACTGTACTGTGCGGTACAGTGGAGAAGGATGGGTGTTCACTTACTACAAAGCACTTTTTGCCTGTTCCTGCACTGCATTGTATTTTACAGTACTGGCACAGGTACAGGGACTGTACAGTACTGCGCTAGTACCCGGTACAAGTACTCGAGTACTTGTACTCTACTGTATCGATACCTCAAATTGTATCATAGTTACTGTGCAGTAAGTGATTGGTTGGAGCGCCCCTCCCCCCCCTCAAATTGCACCAAAACAAATTAACCTGTGACCTGTGTTAAGGGTTCGACTCATCTCCCCATGATTACCGCCAAGGAGGCCAACTTTGCTATTTCCTGTTGTTACACATCTCATTCACAATAACTTGCGCAGGCAAAAGCACTCGTACAGGGCAGAGGGTGTGGAGGCCGGGTTTACAATAGGTGAGGGATTGACGCTTTCAGGACACATCGTTACTCCGATGAGACTGGTTCACTGTGGGGTGGTTGTTGCTACGGTACGAGTACTTTATCATACTTTTCCTGCGCCCGGAGCGGTACCGTACATACTGTATCATATGTGTACGGTACAGGAGTCGGGTTCCATGTGGTATCAAGGTGGTTGTTTTATCATAGGTATTGAGAATGGTGCTGCACTTCCTAATTCTTTGATATCTAACATTATAACTAGGAGGGGGATCTGACCATCCGATAACCCATCTAATCGGATTCCCTTTCTCCCTTTTGTTCTGACACTACCCCGCTGTAAGAACGGAGCATCGCTAACATGGCGAGCCAACCAGCTGGGCAGAATGGAGGGGGGGGGAAGAAAAGTGGGCAAAAATGGTATCGAGAGATACTGCACCTCTAACTTGGTTGAAAACAGTACCGGGAGAGTATTGCCAGGAAGCATGGATGATAGGTGTCGTTTGACTAAAGGTCTCAGCAGGTAGCTTCTAATTCCCTTGGGTCTTGAGGGAACCCGGGTTAGTACCGGTGGCATGCAAGTCGGTGGGTGGGTCCGGTGGAGAGGGAATGGGAATAATGGACGTGAATGAAGGGATCGATGCTTGTAGGGTACACTACCGCTATGGTATGGCACGAGTTGGGAGCTGTGGATTACTGTAGACTACAATATGCTGGTTTGTTGGAATGTTTAGCGAATTCTAGATTACATGTATCGCTACGGGTATGATATGATACGGTACCATCGTCAACATCTCTCTCTCTCTCTCTCTCTCTCTCTCTCGTCGTCGTAGTTGAGCATATGGCGGGTCAGGTGGTCAAACTGAGTCTGTAACTCGCCGCAGCGGCCGTGGTGGAATAGGGTACTGGTAGTCATACTGGCACCATTGCAAGGGATCGTGGTGGAGGTCAGGAACCAATGCTATTCTTGTCATGGACTTTCCACCTTTGTCCCCTTATGCTATGATACCACCGTGTTCTTTCCGCCCCCTTGGCGCACCCCTCTCGCCACAAAGTGTAACCGCCAAAACCCATTGTTACTTCTCGCTTACTAATCATCACCCTTTGCTGCGCTTTAAATCCATTGACAGAGGAAAAGTGTCCTCTACGACGACAGGTGGCTTTTTCTAGGGGGAGTCGACACTCTATAAAGTTTCTCCTTCTCTCTCACGCTTCAACCAGCTCTCCTCCCCTTTTCCCCCTTCTCCTTCCCCACACAAAAACCCGTTTTCTCGCTCATTTTTCTCCCCTCCTCCTACTTTCCCCTCATCTCTCCTCTCCCCACCAACAATCTGCAGACTGGTACTCTCGGAGATAATCATCTACCAACTGCTACGACCTTTCGGCTTTTTTCTCCCTTTATCCAAAGGTCGCCCCCTGATGTTTGAATCAAAGGGCAAGGGGGTCACTTGGACCACCGTGCTTTACTTGTTTTGCATTTTCCTAGCTCCTCTCCTGTTTCTGTCCCCAGCGAGTGCTGCGGAGAATGAGACTGACAACTTTGGAACTGTCATTGGTATCGATTTGGGAACTACCTACTCGTAAGGTTCCCGTCCTTGTCCTAACCGGGCTAATGGATCCGGTCGAATTGAACACTAAGCTTATTGGATGCAGATGTGTCGGTGTTATGAAGGGTGGTCGTGTTGAAATCCTGGTCAATGATCAGGGAAACCGTATTACTCCTTCCTACGTCGCTTTCACACCCGATGAACGTCTTGTCGGTGATGCCGCAAAGAATCAATATGCCTCCAATCCCACAAACACCATCTTTGACATCAAGTAAGCTGTCCTGCGTCCCGCCATTCTTCGGGTTTGCTGACAATCCCGCTCCAGGCGTCTCATCGGACGTAAGTTCAGCGAGAAGGATGTGCAGAGCGACATGAAGCATTTCCCCTTCAAGGTCATCAACAAGAGTGGCCAGCCCGCTGTCCAGGTCAAGGTTGGTGGTGAGGAGAGAGATTTCACTCCCGAGGAGATCTCCGCCATGGTTTTGGGCAAGATGAAGGAGATCGCCGAAGGCTACCTGAGTCAGAAGGTCACCCATGCCGTCGTCACCGTCCCCGCTTACTTCAATGATGCCCAGCGTCAAGCTACCAAGGATGCCGGTATCATTGCCGGTCTCAATGTTCTCCGTATCGTTAATGAGCCCACTGCCGCCGCCATCGCCTACGGATTGGACAAGAAGGACGGTGAGCGTCAAATTATTGTCTACGATCTCGGTGGTGGTACTTTCGATGTTTCTCTCTTGTCCATTGACCAGGGTGTTTTCGAGGTCTTGTCCACCGCTGGTGATACCCATCTCGGGGGAGAAGATTTCGATTACCGTGTCATTAGCCATTTCGCCAAGCTCTACAATAAGAAGAACAACGTCGACATCACCAAGGACTTGAAGACCATGGGTAAGCTGAAGCGTGAGGTTGAAAAGGCCAAGCGTACACTTTCCTCCCAGATGTCTGTCCGCGTTGAAATTGAGGCCTTCCATGACGGAAACGACTTCTCCGAGACCCTTACCCGGGCCAAGTTCGAGGAGCTCAACCTTGACTTGTTCAAGAAGACCCTCAAGCCAGTCGAGCAGGTCCTTAAGGATGCCAAGGTCAAGAAGTCTGAGGTTGACGACATTGTTCTTGTTGGTGGTTCTACCCGTATCCCCAAGGTCCAGGCTCTTCTCGAGGAGTTCTTCGGTGGTAAGCAGGCTTCCAAGGGTATCAATCCCGATGAAGCTGTTGCCTATGGTGCCGCTGTCCAGGGTGGTGTCTTGTCTGGCGAGGAGGGTACTGAGGATGTCGTTCTCATGGACGTCAACCCGTTGACCCTTGGTATCGAGACCACAGGTGGTGTCATGACTAAACTCATTCCCCGCAACACTGTCATCCCTACCCGCAAGGCGCAGATATTCTCCACCGCCGCCGACAACCAGCCCGTCGTCTTGATCCAGGTTTATGAGGGAGAGCGTGCCATGACCAAGGACAACAACTTATTGGGAAAGTTCGAGCTTACCGGTATCCCCCCAGCTCCTCGTGGCGTTCCTCAAATTGAGGTCTCCTTTGAGTTGGATGCCAACGGTATTTTGAAGGTTTCCGCTGCCGACAAAGGCACTGGAAAGTCTGAGAGCATCACCATTACCAATGAGCGTGGTCGTCTTTCCCAGGATGAGATTGACCGTATGGTTTCTGAGGCCGAGAAGTTTGCCGATGAGGACAAGGCCAATCGTGAGCGCATTGAGGCCAGAAATGGACTTGAGAACTACTCTTTCACCATCAAGAACCAAGCCAATGACGAGGACGGTCTTGGTGGAAAGATTACTGAGGATGAGAAGGAGACTCTTCTCAACGCTGTCAAGGAGACCACTGACTGGCTTGACGAGAATGGTAGCACTGCTACCACTGAAGACTTTGATGAACAGAAGGAGAAGCTCAGCTCGGTTGCCTATCCCATCACTAGCAAAAGTGAGTTCTATTATTGAATTTCTGGACAGACATAAAAGCGGACACGATGCTAACATTATTCTAGTGTACGAGGGTTCTAGTGGCTCTGGTGATGACGATTATGTCCCTGACCATGAGGAGCTATAATCGTGATGATTTGAGGTTCTTTGTTTTTTCCCCGGGTTTATATAAAATTTCTTGCAGGCTGAGGAGGGGTTAGGCCCCGGTAGTGTTAGATGGAGGAGCCCTGATTCCTTGTCTTATATGTAAAAACAGTGGATTTTCCTTATGTTAAGGGGTTTGTTTGAATACATGTTTTATGACTGGTTGAGCTTTCGCAGATGGCGGGAGGTGATTGTGACTAAGGCGGGTGTTGTATCTGTGGTACTGTACTCGTACGGTACTCTACAGGTGCTACTTTCTCATTAGTGCCGCCATGTGGATCACTGTTGGTTCACGCCAAGCTGGCCTCGGAAAGCCCGGGCCGTTTTAAGACGAGATTAAGACCTTTACCGTACTTGTATACCGTATACTGTAAGCGGCACGGCGCTTGTAGGTTAGCGTGGGAATGCTTTGGGAAAGTGCTCGTGTGCTCCGTTGCCCTCCCGGCACCCGCTCGCCCGCCCGCCCGCACGTCTTGGACCATCTTAAACTATCATAGGCGTGTCTACCCTGTACGAGCACTATCAAAGATTTCTTGCAATCCTCTGTTGGGGGGGGGGGGTCGTTTTGATATGGTGGTGACGGAGTGCAAATTATGCCTACTCGTGATCGATGCCGGCGGGTACCGGTAGTGCTGTACTCGAGTACCCGTACAGTACTTGTATGATACTAGTACTCTTCAACTGTTTCTTTCTTTCTTTTTTTCTTCTTTTTAATTTTTGAAACAGTGGGAGTGCAGGGTACCACTGTTGGCTTTTCCTGCAACTTACCGATTGGGAAAGGGGGGTTGTGCGCGGGCACCACAGTACTCGTAGGAGGGATACTTGTAGAGAGAGAGAGAGAGAGAGAGAGAGAGGAGGAGGG